TTTTTTTTATTTATTTCATAATGGACAGGCATTTTTCTGCTATCTCGCCTGGAGGTAAGCGGTGATGCGACCTACGATGGAGCACGACTACCCATAAGCAACCTATTCACTCGGGCCTTGAACACACCCAGGTTATACCCTTCGGGGAACACAGACTCCGGCAAAGAATTCCACTCCTTAGCGGTTCTGATTATAAAACTGGAGGCGAACCGCTTCGTGCATGTTTCCATATTTCTTTTATGCAGATTATGAAGGCTTGAAGAGTACAAAATATGTGATAATCACTACATAGTATAAAACAAAGTCGCTTTCTCTGTCCCTATATCCCTATGTACGCTTAAATATTTAAAACTACGCAACGGATTTTGATGCAGTTTTTTCGATAGACAGAGTGATTGAAGAGGAAGGTTTATATGTATAATGACATCCATTGAATACTGGATAAGTGTGGGAGAGCCAAGCTTCGTCACGAATGGGTCGGCTCGACCGGAGTGATACCAGGGCCTCACAGCATACCGGCGTGAAACAACCACAGCGTTGTGTTTCGCCGTGTGAGTGAGGTTCCCGGAGGCCCAATCCCGCCCCTTCCCGATCCTTATATCCGCAACCCTTATCCCTAAAAGGCCGGCAACGCACTCGTATGGTGATGTAGGTGTCCATGGGCGGCGCTGATTGCTTACCATCAGGTAATCCGCCTGCTCGTTAGCATTGGATCTGTACAAAAGAGGGATCGGGTTGTTAGTATACCTAAACATATATTGTTCTAGATCTACTAATGATCTAGATTCTGGATGAAAGTAGGTTCCAACCTAGTTAATACGAAAAAAAATTGTGTCAACCGTGATCAGTGCCAAAGAATCGAACAGTTAAATTTTAACTGTGGCATCGAACACTTGTTGGGATTAAACTAAAGGTAAATAAACTCATTTCTTATAACCCTTCTCCATCATCAGCCTATAAGTGCCCACTGCTGAGCAAAGGCCTCTTCTCACACGGAGAAGGTTTGAACATTACACAACGCTTGCTCAAGGCCGATTGGCGATTTCAAACTTGTAATCAGAAATTACAAATCCAGGTTTCCTCACGATTTTTTCCTTCACCGTATGTCAGTGGTGTCTAAATAATCATGGAAAGTACATCTATACTAAGATTATGAAGAGGTAAAATTTCTAAGTTTGTATGTAGGTTTGCCAGACTTCGTGGCAAGGTAAATAATGAGACTGTAGATGGTTAAGGTCTGTTTATTACTTTAATTGCTGGTGCTTATATACTAAGAAGATGCGTGAGATTTTCAGATTTAGCTATCCTAACAAACGTGCAACAATTAACATGTATGTCTTATCTCTATCGTATCTAAGTAATGTAGCGACGTGATAGTGCCGCTACATATACTCCCCCCTTTTAAAAATAATTAACATATAAATTGAAAAAAATTAGTATGTACCTAATTATATAATAACTTAACCTTGCTGATAAATTACATCCTATGCGTAATGTAATGTCATTGTTGCTAATTCGAAGGAAATAAAAACTGCTGCCTTTGTTGTGACGGCGGCGGCAGTCGATGAACTATCCACTGCATTTGTGCTGATTGTTTCTTGCTATTGTTTTCACTCTTCTGTCTAAGGTCTTCAGTATTCCGTAGAGAAGAAGGATGCCAATTGTGATGAGGATTTGTCCAATTGCAATGTTTCTCGTCCACCGTAGCTCTTCCAGGACAAGACTTTTGAGATGGTCGGCTTCATTTTGATTAAGGCAACTGTCGGAGTTATATACGATTTGATCTTTGGAGCTTTGGTTGCCCATTGTTCTCTCGTAGATACTGACGGTATATGATGGTATTTTCAAAATACGGTGAGTATTTAAATGGACTGATTACTTGTGTCAGCAAGTGACGAATCGTACTGTCGGCTTAACCGCCCGTCCTGACTTCGTGATGTACGTGTTCCGCCCGTTGTGATTATTTTCTGAATTTGGCACGTTCGTTCCACTATTGAAGACAAATGCAGGTTTTAATCGGTCTTGCACGTGCTGATACCGGTGGTCCTTTAGTGATAATATGATGCTTAATCTTGTGTTTTGGAGTAGTGTGGAGGGAGGCTGGTTTCGTAATATCCTCGTATTCATTTAATAGTTGAGTAATGCGTGGATTCGTCTCAATGTTAATAGTGCGGATTGTTTGCTGCGTCGATTTGATCAGGGTTGCGGGCGTTGTCAGCTCAGTTACCCTATCTATGAGTTTTCGACCAGCTATATCGACTAATAGCTTATAATGCTCTAAAAAATCTGCTCCAATAATCGGTTGTGTTACATCGGCGATGACAAAGTTCCATACAAAGTTTCTTCGTAGCCCGAAGTTTAAAGAGAGTGTTTTTTCACCATATGTCTTAATTTTTGTACCATTGGCGGCATAAAGTATACATTGTTCATCTTGTATTAGTGAATGTCTCTGTGGCTTGCTAATAACTGAAATATTTGCTCCCGTGTCAATCAAAAATCTCATACCACTTTTTCGGTCGGTAATAGTGAGGCGGTTGGACGGGTGAATAGCACAGAGTTCCGCCGTTGTCCGTGCTTCAATTAGTTTCCCTGTTTCCTTGAGTTGAGATCCTGTTTCCAATCACAAGGTTGAACACACTTTTGTGCATATTTTTTAAATCTTCCATGGTAAAAACAAAAGTGCCTTCTTTCTCTTGAACTCGACTGTGGTAGGAAATGCCGACGATTGGAATAACTTTGAGTGCTGCGTCGATAGTTTTTTTGACCTTGCTGAATTGCATTTAGTTCCAATTGCATTTCTGCTAACTGTGCTAGTATGCATGACATTGTATCGTCGCCAGATTTGTTTCCGTTTACAGCTGACACCTCTGTACGTGTTGAATTTATTAATATCTTGTCCGCGATCTGGCTCATCTTGTTCACATCTATGTCTTCTGTGACTGCTAGAACCGAAGTCACTGATGGTGGCAGAAGCCTCAACCATAGAAGTTTGATGGTTTCGTCGCTGATATTTCCGTTACTCAGGGTCCGCATCTTGCGCAGAAGATGTGATGGTTTCTGGTCGCCGAGATCCATTTCAGACAATAATTTTTGGAGCTGACGTTGGTCTGATTCCTCATAGCAACTGATTAGGCGTTCTTTGATAGCCTTGTACTTTTCTATTGGCGGTGGGCAAGTAATGAGGTCACTAACCTGTATTATTTCTTCTTTTGGCAGTTTTGCAATGACCGTATAGTACTTGTAATCGTCTCCTTGCTTCTGTGGTGCTACTATGGCTTCTAGTTGCTTAAACCATAATCTGGGTTGGTCCCTCCAAAATTCCGGCTGATATCTCCAAGGCTTCTTGTTGGCTGCTGCTTGATTTGCAGGGTGAATGAGTCATGTTGATTGTTCTTCGTCGGGTCACCGATTTGCCGTCTGAATTTGCCTCCGAGACCGGAGGTCGTTAGCAGGTTGAGTCGTCTGAGAGATGTTTTGTCGAGCCAGTGGATGGTTCCAGTGCGTCGGAACTGATGTCGCATAGTTCACGGTGAGTCGGAACTGTCTGCGGTGATGACCCAGTGAGTCGGGGTGATGATGCATTTTAGCTCCAGTGGGTCGGAGAGATGCATTGCTGCAGGTGCCCCAGTGAGTCGGGTGGTGCGGTCATGAAGAGTGGCTGGATGCTGCGTCGACCAGGAGAGGGAGTACGTCTCTGCTTGCTGACCGGCCGGTGCAGTGTGCTGTGCCGAAGTTGCTAATGAGGCTGTAGGTGCTGACCAGGAATGCGCGTCGGCTGCATGCTGGTGGTCAGGGAACCCGTTGTAGCCGTGGAAGCTGGCTGAATGTAGACTCGCTGTTTGAAAGCTCGAGGAAGTGATGACATCATGATGGCTTATGACGTAGTTGCACGAAGGCTGCGTTGATGTTCATGCTCGGGGTCACCAATTTGCCAGACTTCGTGGCAAGGTAAATAATGAGACTGTAGATGGTTAAGGTCTGTTTATTACTTTAATTGCTGGTGCTTATATACTAAGAAGATGCGTGAGATTTTCAGATTTAGCTATCCTAACAAACGTGCAACAATTAACATGTATGTCTTATCTCTATCGTATCTAAGTAATGTAGCGACGTGATAGTGCCGCTACATAGGGGGTAATCTTTGGAACCACTGGTCGGATTGTCAAAATTCTTTCACTAATAGATAGCTACAATGTTCCTGAATGCTATAGGCTATAAAACATCACGCTACGATGAAATGGAGTTGAACAGCGGGTGAAACTACGCGAGAGTAGCTAGTATTATTATTATAACTCGGAAAAAGTCACATTGGTGCTTGCCAAGTTGTGGACCCTCACCCTTATGCGCGAGTGTCTCATATGTTATGTACCTTTGTCAATCTTCTGTGTAGTTATATGTACTTTTCAATTTAAAAGGTAGAGGAGATTTATTTTTAATCATTGTCCTAATTAAGTAGTTTTATTTATTGTAAACAAGCGACCCGTCCCTGCTTCGCTCGGGTGCAATCCTGATACTAAATGTCTCCACTATTTAATGTATGTCATTATACATATAAACCTTCCTCTTCAATCACTCTGTCTGTCAAAAAACCGCATCAAATACCGTTGCGTAGTTTTAAAGATTTAAGCGTACATAGGGATATAGGGACAGAGAAAGCGACTTTGTTTTATACTATGTTGTGATAACGAATTTTTTGTTTATGTAATGCGTCGGCAAACGATCAGACTGCCTGATTCTTTTAGGAATTTGGAGTTTAAGGGATTGGGGAGGGATCGGGGGAGGGGAAGGATTGGGCCGGTAACAACACTCAAACGGCGAAACACAACGCTGTGGTTGTTTCACGCCGGTTTTCTGTGAGACCGTGGTATCGCTCCGGTCGAACCGACACATTCGTGCCGACGCATATGGTTCTACTGAGAGACATGATGCTTAGATCTTTAAAACTAGGTATTAATAATTATTTTGATGCAGTTTCTTTTTATTAGATTAAGCGATTCAAGATGGCGATTTTTGTGTATAATTTATTAAGGTTTGCGGAGGCTTATGCGGATGCAAAGTTAGTTTGACTTATTTATTAATTTGATCTTACAAGCTACCATTATATGAAGTGTAAAAAACTTAGAATAATTTATCTTTTAACAAGAGATTTTTACTGAAAGGGAGAGGGAGACCAAAGAAAATATGGATGGATTGTGTAAGAAGTGATATGGAAGACAGAGGAGTTAGCGATAGCGTGACGGGTGACAGGACAGAATGGAAGAAAAAAACATATTGCGTCGACACCAAATAAAACGGGACAAGGGCAGGAAGATGATGATGAAGAGATTTTTACTGAAGAAATAATGCCAAAGTTTAAAACTAAATACGATGTAACAAGCATTTTTAGCCCTTATTTTCATAACATCACAAGCAACCAACAAAACACCAACCAAAGCAAATAATTAAAAGTATGATATTTGATGTCTCTTTCCTTTGCTACCTTTAAACCTGTACGTCGATTCTACAAAATTTGTTTGATTTTGAATCTAGGGTGTGATTCTGTAAGACTTCGTTCTAAACTTCGAATCTGAATCCGCCGTGAGTAGTAGTATACTAGCGCTACACTTGCGAGTTGAACTAAATTGACAGCAACATTTTGATAGATAAAGTATGAGATGACGTTAAAAATGGCATTCTAAAATTTAATTACCTCGTTACTTCGACGCTCACTTCACACTCGAACAAGATTCAAAATCAAACAAATTTTATAGAATCGACGTGCTAGTTCGAGTGTGAAGTGAGCGTCGAAGTGACGGAGAAATTACATTATAGAATCTCATCAATCACCTTATATCTTTACAGTCCCACTAATAAACCATTCGTGATCATTTGTGATGATATTTTTTTACGTGATAGGTCGGCAAACGTACAAACGGATTACCTGATGGTAAGCAACCAGCGTCGCTCCTAAACAGGAGGAGTTACGAGTGCGTTGTCGACCTTTAGGGTTTAGGGATTTGGATATTTTGGGAAAGGGAACGGATTGGGGTAGGGGAAAGATTGGGCCTCCGGTAACCTCACTCACACGGCGAAACACAACTCTTTGGTTATTTAACGCCGGTTTTCTGTGAGGCCGTGGTATCGCCCATTCGTGCAGAAGCATAGCTAGCACACACTTACATATATTTATAAATTTTTGTTGCTCACGAAAAAACTACTGAATGGATTTTGAGTAACCCTTGAAGTAATGTAGGTGTTTATCTTGGCTTTCCGTGGGAATGCCCACACAATGAACCACCGTTGAAGTCCACGCGGACGGAGTCGCGGGCACAGTTAGTACGATATATATTTTTTTGTGATTGAGCGGCACACGAGCAGACGAACTACCTGATGGTAAACAATCAGGGGTTTAACCTTTTGGGATTTAGCGTTTTTGAGATTTAAGAATCGGGGAAGAATTGGGCCTTCGGTACCCTCACTCACAAGGACAAATTGTGATTGTTTTTTTTTAAAAAAAAACCGTGTACACAATAGTCATGCTTCGGCACGAATGGGCCTATTAGACCGGTGTGGTACCACGGCCTCACAGAAAACCGGCGTGAAACGACATTTTACACTGTGTTTCACCGTGTGATTGAGGTTACCGGACTCCTTATGCCTCCCCCCATCCTCAATCCTCAAATCTGCTATCGTTAAATCCCTAATAACCCACAAGAGGTCGGCAACGCACTTGTAGTAACTCCTTTGGTATTGCGAGTGTCCATGGGCGGCGCTGATTGCTTACCATCAGGTAATACGTGTTAAAAAAATTAAAAAGAGGGCAAAACAGGTACCTGTTAGATACCTGATGGTAAGCAATCGGCGCCGCCCATGGACCGGCAACACCAGTGAGAGTAACTTGCCCTTTGTTGAGGTTTAACCTCTTGGACATTTAAGATTTGGGGAGGGATGACGGGAGGAAAAAGCTTGAGAAATTCAATTTTGTAGTTCTTTTTTAAGTTAACTTGATGCCAATGGTTTATTAAGAGAGACAAAAACTATTTAAAATGCAATAAAATTATTTACTTACTTAACTTCTTATCTTTTTCACTAGATGGCGTTAGATGTACGTTTATCCCGGGACGTCGACGAGCCTTGGGGTTTCCAGATCTTCGGCGGAGCTGATGAGGAGATGCCTTTGACGATACAGCAGGTAAGACTGATCATTTAAAATTGCTTGATACGTCTTCTGTTCCGCGCGTGCCTTATAGTGCCAATAGACCACCACAGACGGAGCCCTATAGGGCTGATTTTGAGCCGGGATGGATGAGGCAATGGGGGTGAGTGTCAGGCTCTTACTGACTAAAACCCCCCCCCGTTCCTTCTCCTGCTCTGGGCCGAGGCCACGGTGCCTTATTGCGCTTACCTCGCAACCCCGGCTGAACATCAGCCCTATAGGGCCCCGTCTGTGGTGGTCTATTAACTCTTTGAGGCGCGCGCGGAACGCTACGTACCGTACGCGCGGGTCTGGTTCTCGTCGGGCGGCGAGCTACCCTTACTCGCCGTCCGAAAACCCGCGCTTACGGTGGCTGGAGATTGTCTCTCGTGAATGTAGTGGTAGCCAAGAGATTAATTCGCTTCTCATACAAAGGGGTGCGGTTTTTATTCTAGGTGCAGTTTCATATCATACAGAAAAGGTCTTTTACAAAGTCAACGTAAAAGCCAGAGCCAAAATCATTTATTTACTTCAATTAGACCCTTACAGGCGCTTTTGCGCGTCGTTAAACAACTATTACAATGAATAACATCAAATTTTCACCTGTTGTGCGTTCCTTATTATTCAAATTCAATGTTTTTATTGAAATATCAAAAACGATGGACATCTATACTAATATTATAAAGAGGTGAAGTTAGTAAGTTTGTATGTAGAGGGTAATCTTTGGAACCGCTGGTCGGATTGCCAAAATTCTTTCACTGATAGATAGCTACAATGTTCCTGAGTGCTATAGGCTATAAACATCACGCTACGATCAAATAGAGCCGAGCAGCGGGTGAAACCGCGCGAATAGCTAGTGTTATATGTAATCGAAACACTTGACGACATAGAATTAGAATGTCAAATAGTAATTTCTCAAAAAAAAAAAAAAAAATCCTGGGGTGCATGCCAGAAGACCTCCCCGTGGTGCACCTTGGGTGCGGGCGACAGTCTCCCTAACGGGATGGTGACAGGGTTGGTTTGACTGTCGCCCGCAGCGAACTTCTGGCCGGGCGGAGAACCCGGTCGGGTTCTAGAGGCGACCGGCTCTATGCTGGCATAGAGTCCACGCCTCCGTGGGGGCGTTCCTCCGCACGACTCTCTGAACCTAGCAGAGAGCGGGGCGGAGAAACAAGGGCGGCGCTCGTTGTGCACTCACCCTGCCAATGAGTAGCATCGGGGCACTAGCTGCGCCCGACTGCACCCGTCGATATCGTAATCCGGGAAGAGATCATGGTCATGTTTTATGACTCGGACCGGGACGAGGGTCTTGGCTTAACCGCCCGGACCGCGAGGAAGATAACCTCTATAAAAAATTCCTCCAATACTAAGTTCTGGTGCGCGGCGAGGGTATGTATGGCTGAGGAGTAGGATCAGTCGTGAGCGCACCCCCAGCTAGGGGACCGGTGGACCCCCTAGTTGGGAGACAAATGCACACTTACCCAGGGACAGGGGGCTCTCCCTGGGTGGACCGCTTATTTCCCCCATACTCGTGGGACTTCAATGGAGATACCTAAAAACAAAAATAAAAATCCACCTAACGGTGAGGAGAACGCAAGCGAGGTCAGCTCGCTTGCGAATATAACCGAGGCGCTAGATGCATCGTGTGCACGTGCCTCTAGCAGGAAGGAGTCGGACTCAGAGTCCGACTCATCATTGTCTGGCGTCAGCATCGCGCTGCGCCACAAGAAAGACCGGGGCGTTTTTAAACGTCCCAGGTTGGAGCCGTCTTCCAACGAGCAGGAGGCTCCAGCCCCCAAAATCCCCACGGCTGCGCGGGGTAGGGGCAAGGGGAAGGGCTCCACAAGGGCGGCCGGGAGCCGATCTGAGCCGGCAGAGCGGCTGGCAGCGGAGGGGAGCGCCCTGGGAAAGGCTGCCCGCTCGGACTCCTCGGAGATGGAGGCCTCCGGTGGTGAGGGTTCTGTAGGCGGCGCTGAGAGCCTCCGCCTACAAGTAAAGGAAGCACTCCGCATGCTGGCTGGGCAAAAAACCCAGGCTGGCAGAAATGGAGTGCTTAAACACGCGGAAGCCGCTATTATGTCGGCGGTATCCCAGCCGGGCTCAGCTGAGCGGCAGATGGCCGCTATGCAAAAAGAGCTGGCTGGAATGCGGCGGGAGCTATCCCGCTTGGTGGCTGACAATACTGCCCTGGAGGCTGAGCTTCGGGCAGCAAAAACAGAGCTCGCCGCAGCTCGGGGAGTCCGATCCCAACCTGCGCAGCCAGCGGAGGCCGACCTTCTCGGCCTTATGCGGCAGGAGATGGTCGCCTTCCAGCAGCGTTTCGACGTGCTGGAGGGTAGGCTCCTGCGACCTCCACTCGCAGCCGGGTCGTATGCTGCCGCAGCGGCTAAGCCCAAGCCGCCAACCAGCCGTGGGGCACAAGCCAGCGCACCGGTGAAGAAGGGGGCGAAAGCGCCGCCAGCCTTGCCACCGACGAGGGCGCCCGAGTCTCCCTCGGCGCTGGCTCCTGCGCCGATGAGCCGCAGACGAAGAGGAGTAGCGGCTGAAGCCCCAGCCGCATCGGCACCTACTCCGCCGTCTGAGTCGCGTGCTGGTAGCGAGTGGCAAGTGGCGGGGGAGGTGAGGAAGGTCGCCAAGGAGAGGAGGAAGCTCCGGAAGAAGGAGCAGCGGCAGCGGCGACAGCAGCGGCGCAAGGAGAAGCGCGCTGCGGCAATGCTCCTCGCCCCAAAATCTTCGGCTGTAGTTATCACACTACAGCCGGACGCGGCGAAAAAGGGGGTGACGTATGGCGAGGTCCTCGCCAAATTAAAGGGGGCGGTAACTCCCGCGGAGTTTGGGGCACCCGACGGGTTCGCAGTTAGGGTCACTGCCACTGGAGCCCGTCTCTTGGAGGTCCCCGGCGCGGCCAGCGGCCCGTCCGCTGATGCCCTTGCCGAGAGGCTCAGGGCGTGCATTGCGGCGGACGAAGCTCGCGTGTCCAGGCCCACCAAATGCCTGGAGCTACGCATCATGGGCCTGGACGACTCCGTGACGGAGAATGAGGTGGCGGCCGCTGTCGCCAGGACGGGGGGGTGCCCTGCTGACCAGGTGAAGGCAGGCACTATCCGCCCGGACAATACGGGGCTGCGGACTGTGGTAGTCAGCTGCCCCGTCACAGCGGCCAAAAAGCTGGCAGAGGGCAAAAGGCTCCTGGTGGGCTGGGTTTCAGCGCAGGTGAAGCTCCTGGAACCCCGACCTTTGAGGTGTTTCCGCTGCCTCGTGGGTCACCACGTGGGTGCCAAGTGCACCTCAGAGGTGGACCGCAGCGACCGCTGCTTCCGCTGCGGTCAGCCCGGTCACAGGGCCGGCGCTTGTACCGCCCCACCGCACTGCGTAGTATGTGCGGCGGCTGGCAAGCCGGCCGATCACCGGGCTGGGGGCAAAACCTGCTCCCCCCCTAAAAAGCCCAGGAGCAAAGGTAGGCCCTTAGCCACCTCCACTGCTCCCACCGTCGCTCCCGCTGCCGCCGCAGTCGCAAATACTACTGCGACTGCTGCTGTCGCCGCTGCCGTCAGAGAGGAGGTCGTGATGGATACCCAATAATGGCTCCATTACGCCTCCTCCAGGCGAACATCAACCACTGCGTCGCTGCTCAGGATCTCCTGCTCCAGAGCATGGCGCAGTGGTCGATCAATGTTGCTGTGGTCTCCGAGCCGTACTTCGTTCCAGCCAGGGAACACTGGGTGTCAGACCTGGACGGCTCGGTGACCATCATCTCGTCGGCCGCCGCCGGTACCCTAACCCCCGAAGGGCCTCAGCGAGGCAGGGGTTGCGTCGCGGCTCGGTTCGGAGAGATCGCTGTGGTGGGCGTGTACTTCTCTCCGAACCGAACTCTCGTCGAGTTCCACAACTCCCTCAGGGAATTAGTTACCGTCGTCGTCGGGTTCCGTCCCCTCCCCGTGTTGGTCCTCGGGGACTTCAATGCCAAGAATTTGGCTTGGGGTTCCCGGCTCACTGATGTCCGGGGAAGGATGGTCGAAGACTGGGCTCTGGAGACAGGCCTAGTCGTGCTGAACCGGGGTTCTGTCCCCACGTGCGTACGGATGCGGGGCGAGTCAGTTGTGGACATTTCGTTCGCTAGCCCCGCTCTGTCATCGCGTGTCGTTGACTGGCGCGTCATGGAGGAGGTGGAGACGTTTTCGGACCACCGGTATATACGGTTCGACGTTTCCGCCGAGTCCGCAGACCCGCCAGTCAGACAGGCCCCGTGTGGCCCGCGCTGGGCGCTTAGGCAACTGGACCGGGAGCTCTTCCTGGAAGCCGCAGTCGTGCAGGCCTGGGTGATACCACCGGTCAGGCCAGCCGACATAAACGAGGAGGCGAGATGGCTCCAGGACGCCATGTCAAGGATGTGCGACGTGGCGATGCCCCGCATCCGGCCGTGCCAACGCAAGCGCCAGGTGTATTGGTGGTCGCAGGAATTGGCAGACCTGCGCGGTGAGTGCACCGCAGCGCGACGCCGATACACCAGGCACCGCAGGCTCCGTCTCCGCCCTCTGGACGCTGAAGCCAGAGAGGCGGAGCTATACGAGGAGTACAGGGCGGCGAAGGCCACCCTCAGGGTGGAGATCCGGCGGGCCAAAGATCGGGCCCGCGAGGAGATGTTGGAGACTCTGAACAGAGACCCGTGGGGACGCCCCTACCGGATGGTGCGTGATAAGCTCCGCACCTGGGCGCCCCCACTGACTCAGAGTCTCCGGCCGGAGGTCGTGGACGAAGTGGTTGGGGCGCTATTCCCCCGACCACAGATGGGTTACACGCCTCCGGCTATGCCCCCGCCCCCTGCGGTGCCCAATGCAGGCTACAACGACGACGACGATGAATCCGCTCCGGAAGTGACCGAGGTAGATTTGAGAGTGGCGGTGCGCCGGCTGAGCGGCAAGAATACCGCCCCAGGACCTGACGGGCTGCATGCCAAGGTTTGGGTCCTGGCCTCGGAGGCTCTCAGGCCTCGACTACTTGGTCTGTTCAGCGCATGTTTGGAGAGAGGCCAGTTTCCGCTGTCGTGGAAGACGGGTAAACTGGTCCTCGTGAAGAAGCCGGGGCGTCCTGCGGACTCTTCGTCCGCGTACCGGCCCATTGTGCTGCTCGACGAGGTGGGAAAGCCTGTCTGGAAGGGGGCCGGATTTAGCGGACGGCCAGTTCGGCTTCCGCAGAGGGCGCTCCACGGTGGACGCCATCATGCGCGTGAGGGACCTCACGACGGGGACAGCGTTGGCCGGGAGGCGAGTCGTCGTGGCGGTGTCTCTGGACATCGCCAACGCCTTCAACTCGTTGCCCTGGAGCTGCATTTTGGAGGCACTCCGGTATCACCGGGTGCCTGCCTATCTCCGTCGTGTAGTCGAGGCTTACTTGACGGACAGATGCGTCATCTACCCCGGTCACCGGGGCGTGTGGAATCGGCGAGAGGTGTCGCGCGGTGTCCCACAGGGATCGGTCCTGGGACCTCTCCTGTGGAACATCGGGTACGATTGGGTGCTACGCACCGACCTCCCGAGCGGCGTCAGCATTGTCTGTTATGCTGACGACACGCTGGTGCTGGCGAACGGGAGGTCGCATCAGGCGGCGGCCGACCTGATGTCACAAGCGGTTGCGACAGTCGTTGCAAGGATCCGGCAGTTGGGACTCGAGGTGGCGCTCCACAAGTCCGAGGCCATGTGTTTCTATGGCCGTCGGAGCGCGCCACCTCCAGGTGGGTCCCAAATAACGGCAGGAGGAGTTACCATCGGCGTCGAGTCGGCGATGAAGTACCTGGGTCTCGTCCTCGACAGCCGATGGAACTTCACGGAGCATTTTCGTCGTTTGGCCCCTAAGTTAGAACGGTCTGGGGCCGCGCTCAAGCGGCTCCTTCCCAACCTCGGGGGGCCAAACGCCTCCTGCCGGAGGTTGTATATGGGGATTGTGCGATCCATGGCCCTCTACGGTGCCCCTGTGTGGGCGCCGGCCTTGAAGCGGCGGCCGGCTCGTACGCTGGTCGCGTCCCAGAGGGTCATGGCTATTCGAGTAATCCGCGGGTATCGCACGATCTCCGGGGAGGCGGCGAACCTCCTTGCCGGATCACCGCCGTGGGATCTAGAAGCGAAGGCGCTCGCGCGCGTCTACAGTTTGCGCGCAGACGTCGCCGGGGCGAAGATCCTCTGCCGCGCCAAATTAGTGCGTGGCGGAATGAGCTCCGGCGAGATCTCAAGGCAGTAGGTTCCTGTTTCGGATTCAGCGGGAGGAAACGCCCGAGTGTCGTCATTGTGAGGACCACCTAGAGGATACGGTGGAGCATACGGTAGCGGTATGCCCTGCCTGGGCTGAGCACCGCCGTATCCTCAGGGAAGTGATCGGCGGCGGCGACCTCTCGCGCCCGGCCTTAGTCGAGGCCATGGTGCGGAGTGAGAGGAACTGGGACGCCGTCTCCTCCTTTTGTGAAGCAGTCATGCTCGCAAAGAGAGAGGCGGCCCGCGTGAGGGAGCAATCCTCCTCCTCACGCCCCAGCAGCCGCAACTGGCGACACTACGGGCGTCGGGGATCGAGGGACGATCTCCGGCCACCGTAAGTACGGGCCTGCGGTCGGCGAGTAAGGGCAGCTCGCCGCCCGACCAGAACCAGGCCCGAGCGTACGGCGCGTAGCGTTCCGCGCGCGCCTCAAAGAGCCAATAGACCACCACAGACGGGGCCCTAAAGGGCTGATGTTCAGCCGGGGTTGCGGGGTAAGCGCAATGAGGTACCGCGACCTCGGCACAGAGCAGGAGAAGGAACAGGGGGGTTTTTAGTCAGTAACAGTCTGACACTCCCTCCTGCCCGGCCCTGGGCGGGAGAAGTCATTTGATGATTTTCCGCTCACAAAAAAAAAAAAAAAATCCTAGGTAAAAATCTAATGAAATGACGTTTTTTTTTATAACTTTGCCCCGCGTAATAATATGTAGTTTCTCCTGTGTCGTGGGTGCGTTTACAAACATACAATTTCACATACACATCACACACAGACCTGGAACAACAATTTGAGGAATTGGACCACCGCCGGTAACCTCTCTCACACGGCGAAACACAAAGCTGTAGTTGTTTCACGCCGGTTTCCTGTGACGCCGTGGTATTACTCCGGTTGAGCCGACCCATTCGTGCCGAAGCATGGCTCTCCCACACTAGTAAAGCCCCTAAGCTAAATGAAAAACAAAACACGACCAAAGCTGCAATATTTAATTCGTATATATAAAAATTAATCGCAAAATGTGTTGGTAAGCGCATAACTCAACAACGCCTGGACCAATTTTGATTATTCTTTTTTTGTTGTGTTGATTATTGTCAGGAGAAGGTTCTTATCAAAGAAAATATTAGAAAAGTAGAGGGGAAGATTAAGAAAAAGTGACGCGAGATAGTTAGACCCATGCGAAGCGGGGGCGGGCCGCTAGTATGTATATACAAATCAATGCCACTTTTCGTCGTAACGTTATAACTCAACAATACCTTTACCGATACCCATAGCTAATTTTAGTCTTGAATTATTCGTGAAAGTCCATACGGTACGGTTTGTACGAAAAACTTGAACAAGTGTAAAATCGATATTTGACTGCACGGTTGGTGCGGTGGCCGGGCTGCCGGGCTGCCGTGCAACGTGTCGCGGGTTCGATTCCCGCACGGAACAACTCTTTGTGTGATCCACAAATTGTTGTTCCGGGTCTGGGTGTCATGTGTATGTGAAATTGTATGTTTGTAATCGCACCCACGACACAGGAGAAAGTCCTAATGTGGAGTAACTTAAAAAAAAAAAAGATATCCACGCGAGCGGAGCCGCGGACGACCGCTAGTACAGCATAATCTAGAAGTGTTTACTATTAACGCTTTGCCTGTCACTCTGAGATTGACATTGATTACAGATAATTCGTGGCTGCCAATACACAATAGTTTTGGCTCCTTGCCCCGTACCCTTGTCCCATTTCGAAATAAATGAGAACACATCTAATAGATGTCTTTTATTGATTTCTGATTAAATTTATAAATAACTAGCTACTCTCGTGCGGTTTCACCCGCTCCTCAGCTCCATTTCATAATGTTTTATAGCCTATAGCACTCAGGAACATTGTAGCTATCTATCAGTGAAAGAATTTTGGCAATCCGACCAGCGGTTCCAAAGATTACCCCCTACATACAAACTTACGAATTTTACCTCTTTATTATAATATTAGTATAGACTAGGTTTTACCCGCGACTTTGTTCGCGTGGAATAGCGACTTTGTAGATTTTTGGTTTAAAAACTATCCTATGTCCTTTCTCTAATTCTAAACTACGTCTGTACCGAATTTCACATATATAAGTTCAGTAGTTTAGGCGTAAAGAGAAGACAGACAGAGTTACTTTCGCATTTATAATATTAGTTTGGACTAGATTCCGCCTGCGGCTTCGTCCGCGTGGTATGTTGGTAAAAAACGGCCTATGTGTTATCCAGCGCATCACCTACCTATCTACATATGTATAATAATCCAAATACGTCGAGCTGTTTATGCGTGGATGAATACCAAAAAAACATCTATATATTCTCACAAAGTTTCAGATTAATTCTTTTTAGGATAGTGCGACACTCCGAGCGTCGCGGATCGAGAGATCTCCGGCCACCATAAGCGCGGGTCTGCGGACGGCGATCGGCGAGTGAAGGTAGCTCGCCGCCCGACCAGAACCAGACCCGAGCGTACGGTTTTTTTTTTGTGAGGGGAAAATCATTAATTGACTTCTCCCGCCCAGGGTGAGGCGAGAGTGAGTGTCAGACTCTTACTGACTAAAAACCCCCCTGTTCCTTCTCCTGCTCTGGGCCGAGGTCGCGGTGCCTCATTGCGCTTACCCCGCAGCCCCGGCTGCGTGGCGTTCCGCGCCCGCCTCAAAGAGCTAATAGACCACCACAGACGGGGCCCTATAGTGCTGATGTTCAGCCGGGTGGAGGGGTAAGCGCAATGAGGCAACGCGGCCTCAGCCTGAAGCAGGAGAAGGAACAGGGGTGTTTTTAGTTAGAGTCTGACACTCCATCTGGGCGGGAGAAGGCATTTGATGATTTGTCCCCTGACAAAAAAAAAGGGTTAAGGATAGGGGATTTGAAGATTGAGGATGGCGGGGAGGAAGAACTGGGCCTCCGGTTAATACAATGCACTATTTGTGGCATCATCCAAAAAATATTAAACTTTATCTTTAATGGTGCGTTGTCATAAACTAAATTCGCCATCTTGAGCGAGTTCAGCTCGCAGTAAACCAGTTTTTTCATCAGCAATTTCTGTATAAATTACAGATAGAGCCTGACTCCCCGGCGAAGCGAGCTGGTCTGCTGAATGGTGACACCATCCTGACGCTGAATGGAGAAGAAGCTATAGACATGTCGCTGCTGACTGCCAGCCGAAAGGTCGAGGAGTCAGGCCACAGTCTTACCGTTGGTGTGCTGCGGTAAGTAAAATAAATGATACAGAGAGATTAACGAAACGAAATATGAGTGTGGAAGAGTCAGGCTTCTGCATGAATAAGAAAGAAAGAAAGAAAGAAAGAAAGAAAGAAAGAAAGAGAGAAAGAAAGAAAGAAAGAAAGAAAGAAAGAAAGAAAGAAAGAAAGACAGAAAAAATATTTATTTGCACCGTAAAAAATTAAAAACAAACAAGTTTGGTACAACTTATATGGAAAGTATGCACGGCGCAAAAAAGCCAAGTGCTCAGCTAAAGTGCCGTGATCCGAGAGCAATAAAATAAAATAAAAAGAAAACTAGCAAGTCGCTACAATAATAGTATTAGATATAAAATTATACATATTTAAAAAAATTGTCGATGATAACATTGTTATAGGTCGGCTCGACCAGATTGATACCACAGCTTCACAGAAAACCAACATGAAATAACCACAGCGTTGTGTTTCACCGTGTAAGTGAGGTTACCGCTGGCCCAATCCCAGAATCTCCAAACCACTAATCCCCAAAAGGTTGGCAACGCGCTCCCCATCAAGGGCGGGAGAAGTCATTTCCTGATGTTAAACAACCGGCGCTGGCCATGGACACCTGTAACACTGGAGAAGTAACCTACAAGTGCGTTGCTTAACTTTTCGGGATTAGGGAGGGTGGAAGGATCGGGCCTCCGGTTACCTCACTCACACAACGTAAGTGGCTGTTTAAGGCCGTAATTCTGTAAGGCTTTTTTTTTGTGACGGGAAAATCATCAAATGACTTCTCTCGCCCAGGGCCGGGCGGGAGGGAGTGTCAGACTAAAAAGCCCCTGTTCCTTCTCCTGCTCTGGCCGAGGTCGCGGTGCCTCTTTGCGCTTACCCCGCAACCCCGGCTGAACATCAGACCTTTAGGGCCCCGTCTGTGGTGGTCTATTGGCTCTTTGAGGCGCGCGCTGAACGCTACGCGCCGTACGCTCGGGTCTGGTTCTGAATTCTGTAATGCTGTGGTATCACTCCGGCCGAGCCGACCCATTCGTGCCGAAGCATGATTCTCCCACACTTAAAGTCTCATTGGTATTATAGATTATTAGAAAAAGCTGTGTATCTATAGATCTTATGTTCCTAAGACAATAGACCTATACGAATATTATAAAGAGGTAAAATTTGTAAGTTTGCATGTAGGGGGTAATCTTTGGAACCGCTGGTCGGATTGCCAAAATTCTTTCACTAATAGACAGCTACAATGTTCCTGAGGGCTATGAAACTAACGCTACGATCAAATGGAGCCAAGCAGCGGGTGAAACTGCGCGAGAGTATCTAGTACCTTATAAAATAAGACACATAACATACTAGTACTTTTGAAAGGTTTTAAAACCGCCTGAGAAGTGGGCACCTTAACATTCGGCGCATCACGCCGGTAAATAAATTAGATAAATTTATATTAATCTAATATATAAAAATGAATCGCGAAATGTGTTGGTAAGCGCATAACTCAAGAACGCCTGGACCAATTTTGTCAAATGTTTTTTTTTTTTGTTGAATTTATTATTGTCAGAAGAATGTTCTTATTAGAGGAAATTCTAGAAATATCGAGGGGAAAATTGGGAAAAAAGACCCGGGGGAAACGGGGGCGGGCTGCTAGTATAAATAATTTTACTTAGAGCTGACTTTTCAATAGTCAGATAAATTTTATCTAAGGAATAAAATTGTTGCCGTCACTGTCTTATACAAACATTGTGACGCGACAACATCATAATTATTCCTAAGGTAACTTTTATCTAACCATTGAAAAATCAGCCCTTATTATTCATCATCATCATCATCATCAGCCTATAAGTGCCCACTGCTGAGTAAAGACCTCTTCTCACACGGAGAAGGTTTTGAGCACTAATCGCCACGCTTGCTCAATGCGGGTTGGCCATTTCAAACTTATAATTAGAAATTATAAGTCCAAGTTTCCTCGCGATGTTTATTATTAAATAAATTTAACTTTATTACATACAAAATCCATAGGCTTGATAACAATTTACTTAAAACTAATTTTATAAAAAGCGTCACGTCACCGTTTCGTGTTTATTTGTAGCCGATACTCGATAAACGACCTAACCTAACCTAAATACGAAATCATTTATTTATAAATAAAATCTATCATTAAAACTAAATGCTAAAAAAGTCGCCAAGTCATTACAAATGGGGTCATTCAGGCAGGCAGGCAGTCTTCCACTCAATCAATTAATTATTAATACTAGCTTTTGCCCGCGACGTCGTTCGCGTGAAATAGTGACTTCCTGCCGATTTTTTTTATATAAAAACTATCCTATATCCTTTCTCAAGTTTCAAACTATGTCTGTACGAAATTTCCCAGAAATCAGTTCATTAGTTTAGGCGTGAAGAAAAGACAGACAGAGCTACTGTCGCATTTATAATATTAAGTATAGATATAATTATTTTTAGGGCAAACGAGTAGACGTATTAACTGATGTAAAAGCAATCAGCGCCGTCCATGGACACTTCTAATACCTAAGAAGTTACTACATTGCGTTCGCGGCCTCCAGTAGGTTATTAGGTATTTATTTATAGGGGATTGAGGATGAGTATGAGATTTGGGGAGGATGACATGTCACGCGCTATCCGATATCAGTTGGGAGCTCTAACCTCGAAATTGTTGACGAATATGTATAACTGGGACAAGTAATCCAGCTAGGTAGGTATGGGGGGCCTATGTTCAGCAGTGGACGTCCTGTGGCTGATATGATGATGAGATTTGGCCTCTTACCAGAGGCCAAATCTCATCACCTCACTCATACCAACAGAATAGCATTTTTTCTTCACGCCTAAACTACTGAACCGATTTCTGTGAAATTTGGTACAGACATAGTTTGGACTTCTAGAAAGAACATAGGATAGTTTATACCAAAAATCTGCAGGAAGTCACTATTTCACGCGAACAAAGTCGCGGGCATTATCTAGTATACATATGTATAAACCTTCCTCTTCAATCACTCTATCTATTAAAAAACCGCATCAAAATCCGTTGCGTAGTTTTAAAGATTTAAGCGTACATAGGGATATAGGGACAGAGAAAGCGACTTTGTTTTATACTATGTAGTGATAAGTCTTATTCAATTGTGTTTTGAAATAAAAAGAAACTGGACTTGTCGATTCTCTACCGTGCTTCCGACACATACTCTGCCAAATCTAATTAAACATCTATCGGTGACGAAATTATCGACGAATGTCAATTTAAAAATAGATGTAGCGATGTCCTTTTTAATTCATCTTCGAATAAAAACTAGTCGCCAACCTTTATTTGGTTTTCGTTTTTCAAATTGTGTGTTTGTGTGAATTTTGTGCGTCGTCGTCGGAACGGTTGAATTTCGAATAGGAATACTTGATATTATTTTTTTGGCCTTAATTTGGTGTTTTTTTTTTGTTTTTCTCGAAACGTTTGAACAATGAAGTTTTATTTGGTTTATAAAAATCAGTAAGTTTTTTTTTGTTTTTCCTTTTTTTTCCATTACGAATATCAAATAAAATCATTTATTTTTTTATTTGTTCATCATAGTTACATTCGAATTTTAAAGATCAATATGCGATGCCAAGATTCTTTCAAAAAAATAATTTAAATGCATGAAACTTTGTAATGTATATTAAGGCACGCTCAAGTAATAATTATAGATTAAATACTTCTGATTTATATCTACTATGAAATTAAAGTTTAGCTGTGTGAGCTCGCCATGTCAGCGTTTAGTATAAAATGTAGGTACTAGGTCGCGACTTCACACGATATTTCTAATCAATATGTCGTCAACACTATTTGTTTACTTTAGAAAAGAAAAAAAATACTTGTCATATGTTTTTAAATAATAATATACTGAATTAAAATCGTGGTAGCCCAGAGGTTAAGGCGCCCGCTCCTCATACATTAGGCTCGAAACCTGGCGAATATCTATCAATGTGACATTTTCCCAGTTGGTTAGGTATATAGTACTTTCTATGATTATTAAGTCACCACTGACATACGGTGAAGGTAAACATCGTGAGGAAACCTGGACTTATAATTTCTAATTATAAGTTTGAAATCGTCAATGCGCCTTGAGTGAGCGTGGTGGTTAATGCTCAAACCTTCTTCGTGTGAGAAGAGGCCTTTGCTCAGCAGTGGGCACTTAAAGACTGATGATGAAGTGATTCTATGGGAAATTTTGACGTACTTTTCAGAACTTATTTTAGCTACATGTAATCTTAGATATTGCTCAGCTCCTATAAGCCGTAGCGTGATGTTTTATAGCCTATAGCATTCAGGAACATTGTAGCTATCTATCAGGGAAAGGATTTTGGAATACCGACCAGCGTTTCCAAAGATTACTCCCTACATATAAACCTAAATATAACCTCTTTATATAGTATAGATTAAGAACTTAACCTCCGTTCTAAAAAGAGTTTTTAATAAGCAGTTACAGTAGCCAAATCAAAAGTTATTTTTAAACTGTATTTGAAGTCACAATTATTATAATCAAAGATTAGTATTCAGTAATGAGTTGACTATTTTAGTCGGCCTTTTTTGTTTTAAAATAGTGACGAGTATTCTTATTTTGAATTTGAATTTGAATAAATACGTTTACTTTTGACAGTTCGAAATTTAAAAGTTTCAATTTGGAGTGAATGAATTTTAATAAAAAAATAAGTTGTTCTACGTTTAAAAAATATTGTAATTTTTATATTTGTTTTTTTTTTTAAGTACAAAAAGTTTTAATATTTCGAAAATGAGTGGAGAGTGTAAAAGTGACGTTACTCTATTGTCTATTGTTATATCAAAATATTACAGATACAATAATGCAATTGAAAATGTTAGTAGATAACTATTTAATTATTCAATTAACATACATTTTAAGTGTGGGAGAGCCATGCTTCGGCACGAATGGGTCGGCTCGACCGGAGTGATACCACGGCCTCACAGAAAATCCGGCGTGAAATAACCACAGTGTTGTGTTTCGCCGTGTGAGTGAGGTTACCGGAGGCCCAATCCTTCCCCTCCCCCAATCCCTCCTAAATCCCTAAATCTCCAAATCCCTAATCCCTAAAAGGTCGGCAACGCACTCGTAACTCCTCCGTTGCGAGTGTCCATGGGCGGCGCTGATTGCTTACCATCAGGTAATCCGTCTGCTCGTTTGCCGACCAATTAATTAAAAAAAAAAAAATCAAATCGAAAAGTATTTAATTAAGTGGCCGGTTGACCCCACGTCCTCACAGAAAACTGGCGTGAAGCAACATTGACGTTGTGTTTCGTCTTGTTAGTGAGGTTATCGGAGGCCTTCCTTCCTACCTCCTACCCTCAAAGCTCAAATTCCCTCTCCTTAAATCCCTTATAACCCACAAGAGGCCGGTAACGCACTTAGAGTAACTCTTTTGGTAGTACCAGTCTCCGTCTGCAAGTAAAGGTGGATTCCCACGGCCCGCTAAACGACAGGCATCGCCAGGCGCTGCCCCACCTGTGTAGACCTGTCAGGGCCTGTACCGATCGTTCCCACGGCATGTGTCGGCCTGTTGACTAACATTCCAACATGAGCAGTGATACGGAGCGCTTGGCTGCGTATGCGGCCGCTGTAGTTTTATTCAGCGGTGAATATTTGCTAACGCAAGCAAAAAGGACAAGTCGCGAAGACGAGGACAGGTCGCCACAGGCACCGTCGCACCAGGCCGCGCCGCGCCTTTGAACTTACCGACTACCGATGGATCGTCACGGGCGGCATCAGGCCACTGCAGGCCACATCGGATGCGACGGTTCCCATGGCCTGTTGGCCTGTCCCGGCGCGGCCTGGCCTGTTAGAAATCAGGCCGTGAGAACCCGGCTTGAGCCGACCCATGTCATAAAAAATAAGGCAGTAGAAACAATGATATTATAAGTAAAATGGTGTAGACAGGTTACCTAAACAAAATTCGATTTTCAAAAACGACACACTGATACACACATGGACAATACGTATGTTTAAACGTCAAAGTGAGATGGCATTATTCAATAATCGCGAGTGAAAAAGAGACAAATATGAAACAGTTTGACTAGTTAGCCACATTTTAATGTATCCTTTTTACTTCTCTATAATATCATTGAGTAGAAAGATGTCTTGCATACGACTCCTAAAATGTGCTTTATATTGTTTATAAATGTGAAGCTCTGCCTTAACCCTGGGCTTTTGTGCGAAAAGTGTTTTATTACAACCATTATAAAGTCTTTTTTCTCTTGTTGCAGCGGCCTTTACGATCCGGTTCTAGACGACTCGGAGCCGTTGTACTACGAACCGGAAGATTTAGGCCTTCAATCGGAACCGACTGAGGTAGTCTTCCAAATACAACAGTTCGTTGACCCCTCTGACATAGGCAGCCATGATCTTGATCCAGGATCTAATCTTGAATCTAGATCCCTAACTTCTTCCCCTTTCGTTACCCCTACAAAACCCTATAGACCATTTTCAACTGAGCCGGTCCCAGAAGTCCCTCCTTTAGAGGAACCCATTATCCTTAATCCTGACTATAGAGACGTTTTTGGGCGCACTCCTAATGACAATGACCCTGAATATTTGCTTAATTCTTTTGGTAATCTCTTGGGAGAGAGTAGGTACAAATTGCCAATATCTGAACAATATGATCCAGACGGTACGAGGTTCAAACAGAATGTTGAAGTCGTTGATAAATTACTGAAGTACGAAAAACACGTTAAAAGTTTAAGTAAAGATTTGGAAGTTATCGATGTTACTAAAGAAACGAGAGTATCTGAAGCTGTCACTAAAGATATAAAGGAAACAAAATATGTTATCGTTAAAGAAAGCGCTTTTGAAGATGTTAAAAAGAAAACTGTTAAGATCGAAGAAGGATTATCTCAGGATCGGGTTAAAATTGATTCTAAGGTCGTGGAAAAGAAAGAGATGAGTAGAGAAGAGATTGAAGAGGAATCCTTAAGAGAAGAATTGCAGTATATTGAGAAGATGAAACAAGAAATAGATGTTGAAAAAATTGAAGAAACTGCTATGCTTGTTGTGGATGACAGCATTGAAAGAGCAGTATCAGTGGCTGAAGAAATTAAAAAAGAAATGGACGAAGAACTTATGTCTATAGACAAATCTGAAAAAGTAAGTTCTAAAACGGAGAAAAAAGAGATTTCTAAATACGAAATGTCTGAACAATCGTCTGAAGTAATTGACAAGACTGAAACATCTGAATTTGCTGAAAGAAAGATGACTCAAGAAGAAAGAGTTGTAAACGAAGAAGAAAATAGTAGAAAGATGTCTAGAAAAGATGTTAAAGCAACTGAATCTTCTGAAACCATATCTACAGAGGACACCAAGATGGATGTTCATAGGAAATCTGTTATATCAGAAGAATACCAGCAAGAGTATAAAGAAGAGCCGAGAAGAAAAGAGGCATCTATCCAAGAGACTTCTGAAAGTAAGGCCAAATTTAAGAAGGTTGCTAAATCAGTTGCTTCTGGTGTGAAATCGGAGAAAACTTATGCGGAACAGAGAGCTTATACTATTGGTTTGCAAACTATACCTAATATAAGAGGCAATGTGCATTCTTCTTATCATTACAATCTTCTTCTGCAAACATTCTTTATCCATCTAACCGATGTGATGGTAGCCCTGTCCAGATTCCTCCTATCACAGCCTGTATTCAACCAGTTAGATCAAACGGTCACTGAAAAAAGCAGTTATGAAAGCGCTGATGTTATCCAGAAGACTTCTCAAGTGCAAAAAGTAGAAAAAACAGAAGAAGGAAAATTAGTAGAGAGAAGACAAGAAAGAAGGCAACTCGTTACTCCAGTTCCTGTTACGGAGAAAAAGGAAGTTAAATCTGTGACGCAGAAGATCGAAAAAGATATGAAAGTAGAATCACAAGAGAAGAAAGTTGAAAAAATGGAGATTATCAAACCCGTTCCTGTGAAAGAAGTTAAACAAGAAGTTAAAGTGGAAAAGGTAGAACAACAACAAGAACAGAAGATTGAAAAGGCAGTGACTGGAGCAGAAATGGCGCAGCGTTCTGAAAAGAAACTCACTCAGGAGATGACTCATAAGATGGACGCTGTAATCTCTGAATTCCAAACCATCGCTGTAGAAGAAGATAAAAAAGAAATGTTCCAAAAAAGCCGAAGATCCAGGAGTAGGAGTCAGATTGAAGAGGAGGTTATGAAGGAAAGCGATCCTTTAGAATGGCTGTCTAAGGTAGACAGCAGAAGCACATCTCAAGAAAGAACAGAGATATCTAAAAAGGAATTTACATCTACAGAATCAAAGAAGAGCGTAATTGAGACGAAAGAAGAAAGAACTTCAAGAAGGTCTAAATCACCTAGACAGACATACGTAGCCATAGTAGAATCACACGTCTATACTAATAAGGATGCTATATTTGAAGAACATGTAACAGATTTCTCTGAAACTTCTTCTGTACAAAGTGCTGAAGAAATCAATACTGCTATTGAAGCTATTGAGACTATAAGCACTGAGAATGTAGCGATAGAAAGCGCTTTACTAGAACTAGAAACAGCTAAAGTCGTTGAAGAAACTCACGAACTAGCAATGGCTACTGCTAAAAGCGCTGCAACGGTACAAAAGATTGGGGAAGTAGTGCATGATACCAAGGAATTTGTTCATGAAGAGTTCGAACATAAATCTGCTGTTCAGTCAACTGATGTACAAGAAGTGGTAGTCCAAGAAATAAAGCAGATCATTGAACCAATCGTAGAAATCAAAAAGAGTGAAGAAAAAATTGAAAAAGTTTCTGTAGATATAAGCGAATCGCTATCAATCGCTGAATCAACTGAGATTAACGTGATGGAAACTAAATCAGAGTTTGTTGCCGCTGAAGTCAAGGAAGAAGATGTTAAAATAGGAGAAGTGAAATTTGAAGAGAAAGTTATAGAAATCGAGCCTGAAGTACAAGAACCGAAGCCAGTGGAAACAGTTGAAATATCAGAAACAATCAAACTGAAACCTAAGAAAGAAAAAACTGAACACGATGAATTTGCTGCCCTGAAAATCATTAAAACAGTTCCAGTTGATAGCGTACTATCGCCTGAAATAATTGAAGTACAAGATATATCGGAGTTGATCGCTAAGTCAACTGTAAGCACCATTGGCGTAGGTAATAACATAACTATAGATTCTTCTAAAGAAATTTCCGAAACATCTTCAATTAGCACTCATATCAGCAAAGCTGACGCTAAAAAAGAATCCACAACAGAAATGAAAGCTGAAACGATAAGCAAAACTGCTGTCGAAGAAAAAACAACATCAGCACAAGAAATTTCCCAAGAAGCTACATTCACGGCGAAATCAGTCGATAAAAAGCTTTCTTTACAAACTGATTTGGTAAGACAAGCATCGTCTTCTTCAGTGCAAAGCCCGCCAAGTACCATTGATACTCCAACTCCTACGACCGTCCCACCTACTCCTCTGACAGACGAATACGTTTTCAAACTATCTCTACCCCTCCCAAAAAGTAGAAGTTGTACTCCTATCCCTAGAGACTGTACCCTTAGTCCAGAAGACGAAGACCCGCATATCGTTAAAAAGAATTTGATACCCCATATAGAGACGACTATTGAAAGAGTGGTTTACGATCCACCTTTAAGTACCCCTACAGATGACCCAAAGTCTCCCGTCTTTACAAAACCGGTTTTAAATGGTGGTGGTAAAATATATCCGGTTTATTGTAAACCCGGACTAAAAGGGGGTGCTGGGAGGGTTAGGTTTCCAGTGTATAGGAAACCAGGATTGTACGGTGGCGGTGATAATCCAGATTATTCAAAGGTATGTTTTTGGTATAAGTTTGTGATTTGTGATTGAATATTCCATTTCAGACATTGTAGTACTTTTGCTCGACTGTTTTGTCCATATTTGAACCATCTCGATAATGTACTAAAGAATCTGTATGTGAAACTGATTTGAAAAGAGTAACCATGGAGTTTCTTACTCGTTCTTCTTCATTGGAACCTACACTTTGGAACGAGCAAATAGCTTCACTAGAGGACTTACTGACAGAGTGGCACGTTTTGTCTTTAAGCTTTGTTTGACGTTCAAAAGCGTCTGTAAGAGTCTAATTGAAATAAATAATTTTTACTTTGAAGCAGAGATTTAATTCTTAGCCGACTACTTGAAAACTATGTCAAATACGGAAAGCACTTTTTTAGAATTATTATTCTAATCGATAGTTTTCTTTGCGAATCTTTTACGTTAGCTAGAATAGACACATAAATTTTGAAAATTTCCTGGTATAAGTATACCATTTGATGTAAAAAAAACATAACAAAGATCACCGAAAATTTTCGATTTTGACAATCTGAAATGTGTAGGTATTGAATTTGACTAGTTTTGTCACGGCTCACTCTAATATTACCTACATTTTTTCATTTATAAGTATCAATAAGCAGGCTACAGGCTATCTACTAAGAGATACATGCTAAGACTTTGATTTTGACTTCTGAATATAGTCTTTGACTAAGAAATCAATTTCTGAATATAGTCTTTGAATAACTTTTGCCCGTCGCCGGTCCGTTCGCGTGGAACAGTAACTTCCGGATAATTTTGGTATAAAAACTACCCTATGTCCTTTCGCGAGTTCCAAACTGTCTGTACCAAATTTTACAGAAATCGGTTCAGTAGTTTAGGCGTGAAGAAAAGACAGACAGACAGAGTTACTTTCGCATTTATTATATTAGTTTGGATTACACTAGTGAACAGTCTATTTTTACAAATCACAGTTACCACAATGTAGAGTCCCATTACATCATGAATCACCATGAATATCTACGCTTAATAAAACTTTTTTTTTCAGCAATTATTATACTCTGTACGTATGCAAGAACTATTTCGAAATACGAATTGATATTTAAAAATTCTTCTATTTTCTTGACGTTGATAAAACCTCTGTGAGATCCTTAAGACAGATTTGAAAATTTTGATTCGAAATTTAAATAGCACTTTGGCGTACCTAGGTATATGTGATAGAAGCTTATAATTTTATTGGATATGATTCTAATATCAACAATTCATTCCCAGGAAGAAATAAGAGAGATCGAGCGCAAATCCTCTCTACTAGCATCAGCTATAGACGAGACAATAAAAAGCATAGAAGAATACAAAGAAGAAGTTGGAATAGAGTCGAAAAAAGAAGTCAAAAAGGAGGTCAAAATACAAGAGTTTAAAGAAGAGAAGGTTTCAAAGAGTTACCAAGAATCTTATACGTCAGAAGAAATAATTAAAAACGGGTTCGATGAAATAGATACTAAAATCGAACAAATGTTAGAAGAATGTAACACTATGTCTATAGAAAGTACGAACAAGACAGATTCTCAACCTGAAAACGTAGGCATCGTTACTGAAATAGACGATATTAAAACAACAAGAACTAGCATTGAAATCGAACCTCAGAGTCCGAAGGAAAACAACGCGAAAGCACAAGAAGAAACTACGAAAGTTGATATAGTCGAAATTGAAACAAAAGTCCAAGAAAATAACGTAGAATACGACAAAAAAGACGCTGAAGTTGCAGAATCATCTTTTATAATCGTAAAAGATAAAGATAGTACAACTTTAAACGCTGTAAAAGAAGATACTACTCTTCAAGAGGAGAAAATAGAAATAAAAGAAGAATTCAAACCAGAATTTAATGCAGTAGAATTCAAAGCCGAGCCCACTGCCGTGGTAGAAGAAAGAATAGATCCTTTAACGAGAGTCAGACCTGTAGTCTTCGATCCAGAAAATATTCAGCGACGAGGACAAGAGTTTATTTCTATACAGGTAAGTTTAGCCAAAATTTCATATCTCGTTTCCTTTTTTATTATAACTTTCGTGAGACATTCTAAATTAATTATTATGTTTTCGGCTTACTCACGAAAGCACTCAGTAGCAGCGCGACAGTCGCCGCGTCGCGTGTCGCGGAATGCTGCTCATGAATATGGGCCTCTAGCATGGCTTGAAGCTAGTCGAGTATCTCGTCAAATTATTTCGTGAGGAGGCGGAAAACATAATAATTGGTTTCCTTTTTTGTGGAGAGAAATCATTATCAAATGACTTCTCTGACCCAGGGTATGGGAAGAGAGAGTGTCAGACTCTTCCTGACTAAAAACCAACCCATTTCGTCTCCTGCCCCAAGCCGAAGCCTGGTACCATACGCTCAACCCACGACTCTAGCTAAGCATTGCCTATATTGGGTCCCATTTGTGGTGGTCTATTGGTTCTTTACTACGCGCCGTCTCCTCGGGTCTGGTTCTGGTAGGGTGGCGAGCAACCCTTGCTCGCTGGCCGCAGTCTCACGCTACAGTGGCATATCTGGTATTCCCTGAAAGACCATGGAAACCCGTAATACCAAGGAAGTTACTACAAGTACTTTGCCAGCCTCTTTTGGATCTTAGGGATTTCCGGATAGGGGATTTGAGTATAGAGGATAAGGAGAGGACGAGGAAGAAGGGAGGTTAATGCTCTAGTGGATCCATATTGAGTCTTCTCCCTATAATCTACCACCTGTTTAACATATGGAAAGCTAATAAAGAATTTAAATTCGAATTTGGATTGCCATGTAACCTCACTCATACCTAAATCGATGTTAGCTAATAAACTGAATTTAAATAATCTTTGTATGTATTTTATACGAGCTCTTTGATATAAAAAGACATACCAACAATGTTTACCTTTAGTTAACCACCTAAGCCGATAGACCATAGTTGCCCAGTCAATTTGAATTTAATATTAATATTTTTCCACAGCAACCTATGTGTACTTCAGAACCAAGACAGTCTCCTTACATAAATGACAGTGGAAAACTCATTGGAACTATCCAGGGCATTGTGGATGGCTTAGAAGAACCAGTGATGGATGAACAACTAGCCAGTAAGTTTTTTATGTGATAGGACGGCGAAGGAGCGGACTGATTACCTGATGGTAAGCAATCAGCGCCGGCCATGCACACCAAAGGTATTAAAGTGCATTGCCGCTTTTTGGGGAGTAGTGTTTCAGATATTTAAGGATTGGGGACATATAAACTTCCCTTTTCAATCACTCTATCTATTAAGAAAACCTCATCGAAATCCGTTGAGTAGTTTTAAAGATTTAAGCATACATAGGGATATAGGGACAGAGAAAGCGACTTTGTCTCATTATATTTAGTGAAGTTGGTAAAAGAAGAAAGTAATATTTTTTATTTGTATTTGCAGAAGAACTTGGTAAGCCAGGAATTTCTGAGGAGAAGATAGCTACACTCATATCAGGGGAAGCGGAGATGTTAAGAGAAGCTCATGTTATGGGGTAAGCGAAATTTATTATGGATTTGCCAGGTCTCATTTGTGTAGACTTCGCCGTCCTACCAGAACCAGACCCGAGCGTACGGTGCGTAGCGTTCCGCGCGCGCCTCAAAGAGCTCATAGACCACCACAGACGGGGCCCTATAGAGCTGATGTTCAGCCGGGGTGGAGGGGTAAGCGCAATGAGGTACCGCAGCCTTGACCTAGAGGCTAGCCTGCGGTGCCACATTGCGCTTAGGCATCCTATAATACATGTAAATTTTTACTCTATCTATTAAAAAGCAGCATCAAAATCCGTTGCGTAGTTTTAAAGATTTAAGCTTACATAGGGATATAGGGACAGAGAAAGCGACTTTGTTTTATACTATGTAGTATGTATTGTCATTATTATCTTCATGGCATGTTTTCAACCATTTCTTCTTTGTAAATTTTCACACATTACATTCTTCATACGCACTTACATATTCATTACAAAGACACATTTAATCTTCGCTCGCCACTCACTCCATGTCATCAAAGTCAAAATCATTTATTCCAACTAAACCATACACAGGTACTTTTGAAACGTCAAAATAGAATAGTAGTCTGTCAGTCTGTTCGCCAGTAAAGCTAAGTACTCGTTCCAAAGTGTAGATTCCAATGGAGAAGAACGAGCAAGAAACTCCATCTGTTACTATTTTAATTGACTGCACGGTTGGTGCAGTGGCTGGGTAACTGGCTGCAGTGCAACGTGTCGCGGGATCGATTTCCGCACGAAACAACACTTTGTGCGATCCACAAATTGTTGTTTCGGGTCTGGGCGTGTTGTGTATGTTTGTAAACGCACCCACGACACAGGTAAAAATCCAGTAGTGGTCCATCCAGTAATAGTGTGGGGCAAGGTTCTTTTTTAAAGAAGAAAGAAAAGAAAAGGAAGAAAGAAGTCTCTTAGTCTGTTCGTCAGTAAAGCTAAGTGCTCGTTCCAAAGTGTAGATTCCAATGGAAAAGAACGAGCAAGGAACATCGTTACCGATCGTATATTTTTTTTTATGTTTCATTATCCAGTATCATTATCATTCACGATCTTATCTTCAGTCCATCCATCTTTTCTTTGGAGTCTTCCCATTTAACCATCAGGTTAGATTTTTTCGCAAGTTTACCGACGGCGAGTACCTAAGGGTAGCTCGCCGTCCGACCAAAACCACACCCGAGCGTACGGTGCGTAGCGTGCCGCGCGCGCCTCAAAGAGCCAATAGACCACCACAGACGGGGCCCTATAGGGCTGATGTTCAGCCAGGGTTGCGGGATAAGCGTAATGAGGCACCGCGGCCTCGGCAGAGCAGGAGCAAGAACAAGAACGAGGTTGTTTAGTCCAGAGCAGGAGAAGGAACGGGAGGGTTTATAGTCAGTAAGAGTCTGACACTCCCTCTCGTCTCACCCTGGGCGAGAGAATTCATTTGATGTTATTCCCGTCACAAAAAGTAGATTTCACCATCGTGCCATACTAGAAAAGCCTTCCAGTCTTTTTCATCAGACGCATGATCTTATTTCATGTTATTTCTCACATATCATATCAAGTAAAAATCGTGGTGGTTAATGCGCCCGCTTCTCATGCATGAGGGTGCGGTATCTTGGCAAGCACCAATATGACGTTTACGGAGTCATATGAACTTTCTATGATTATTTAAAAACCACTGACATACGGTGAAGGTAAACATCGTGAGGAAACCTGGACTTTTAATTTCTAATTATAAAATTTCAAATCGCCAATCTGCCTTGAGCAAGCCTAGTGATTAATGCTCAAACCTTCTCCGTGTGAGACGAGGTCTTTGCTCAGCAGTGGGCACTTATAGGTTGATGATGTTAACGATGAGCATATTAAGATCAATTGTTTTTCCAATCTTACTCTTCACATCATCATCGTCCAAAACTACACAACAGAAGCACACTAATATAACAAAATTTCTCCAAAATGGTTGAAAACAGGCTGTCCAGAGTTCTCTCGTCTCATATGCACCGCGCGGACGACGATAGCGTCGATTTTCAGAAAATCAAGCCAATGATCAATTCGTTGAAAGACTCAGAAGTACTGAAGGCTTTAAATGAAGAGTTGGAGAGACAGAGACAGGAGGAGAAGAAGAAAGAGGAAAAGAAATGGACGACGTTTCTCCAGAAGCCGAAGAGACCGGTACCGAAAGCGAAGTTTGGATACCCTGGATGGACGGAGGATACGCAAATAATTGCGGTAAGTTATAGATGATAAGGTTGAGTTTTGTTTGTATAAAACTTTGTAAGTTGATGGTAAGCAATCAGTGCCGCCTATGGACAACCGCAACAGGAGTAACGAGTGCGTTGCCGACCTTTTGAAGTTTAGTGATTTGGAGATTAAGGGATTGGGGAGGGATTGGATTGAGTTTAGTTATAAGGTTGAGTTTAGTTTCTATTTTATCTTATTGCCAGTAAACGGGCGCCGCCAATTGGGACTGGTCAGTAGTGTGATTCTGTAAGACTTCATTCTAAACTTCGAATCTGAATCCGCCGTGAGTAGTACACTAGCGCTACACTTGCGAGTTGAACTAAATTGACAGCATCATTTTGATAGATAAAGTATGAGATGACGTTAAAAGTGGCATTCTAAAATTTTATTTCCCCGTCACTTCGACGCTCACTTCGGACTTAAACAAGATTCAAAATCAAACAAATTTTATAGAATCGACGTGCAGCTCCGGACTGTCTATTGCCCTCAAGAGTATTGTATTTTTATGTTTCTCTGAATAAAAATTTGTGTTACACGGTTCTCACATAATTGAACCAACTAAATAATGTAGCAAAGAATCTTTAGATGAAACTGCTTTGAAAAGAGTAACCATGGAGTTTCTTGCTCGTTCTTCTCCATAGGAATCTACACTTTGGAACGAGCAAATAGCTTCACTAAGAGGACTGACCGACAGACTGACACTTTGTATCTTTAAGATTTTGTCTCATGTTTAAAACTGCTTGTAAGAGTCTCATTGAAATATATGATTTTGACGCTGACTGTGAGGTTATTAAACTGTGATATTTGCTCTTCAAAATGATAGCACACATTAAGGTTTTTCGTTAAGCCTCCTCTCTGAAGGAGAGTTCGTAAAAAGTCATTTTTTTTTTCATGAATCGGGCATACAAATTGTGGCGATGCGTATTTTTCATCTATCACGAAGAATTTGAGGTAAATTTTCTAAGTATACTAATATTATAAAGAGGTGTAAAACTCTATGTGGGGGATAATCTTTGGAACCGATAGATAGCTACAATGTTCCTGAGTGCTATAGACTAGGCTAAAACAGCACACTACGATTATATGAAGTCGTGGGTGAAACCGCGCGGAATTAGCTAGTTTTATATAATTTAGGAAGTCAAATATTGCGCTACATATACAGGGCAGTATTTTTAACAACGAACATAATTCAAGGTCCCGATTCTGGTGCGCAAAAAAAAGTGATGTTTTATAGCCTATAGCATTCAGGAACATTGTAGCTATCTATCAGTGAAAGAATTTTGGCAATCCGACCAGCGGTTCCAAAGATTACCTCCTCCATACAAACTTACAAATTTTACCTCTTTATAATATTACCTAGTACAAATTAAAGAAATACACGAACACTATACAAGGAATATAAACAGTAAGAGAGATACATTATCCAGACCTTGTTCTTGATGATCAATCCAATACGACTGAAGAAATAAATAATTACAATACGAACTATTTCAATGTCGAAGTCAATGTCGTAAACATTAATTTTAAATAGACCGTTACAAGCATTTGAACGTAACGTAACCAAGCTTGAAGATAAAAATACTTATCTTGTCTTTCGACGAACGAAAAACCTCAATTTTTAATACCATTTTGAAGAGCAAATATTCCAGTTTAATTACCTGAAAGTCAAAGTCAAAATCATTTATTTCAATGAGACTCTTACAAGCAGTTTTGAAAATCAGAAAAAATCTTAAAGATATATAAGTGTCAGTCTGTCGGTCAGTCCTCTAGTGAAGCTATTTGCTCGTTCCAAAGTGTAGATTCCTATGGAGAAGAACGAGCAACAAACTCCATGGTTACTCTTTTACAATCAATTTTAAAAACGGATTATTCCATTCATAATTTTATTGAACTTCACAGCTGTCGACAGTTGAATAAATAATACGATTTCGATGCCAAATATTAAGAAATCGATATCTATTTTCAATCGTTTCCGTATTATCAAAACACTTCCTATATATCGATAATGATTTTAATTATTTTTGGCGTCCATTCAATGGTAAACTTATATTATCTGTACCTAAAATTTGCGTCCAAAAATCAGTTCTGTTCCGACCCTTGTCGGGGTAACACGCGTCGCGAGTTCCCATTGTGAGTTTTTCCGTTATTTTCTTTTTAATTGACGATTTATCGTTATGTTTGTAGCGCTTATCGTTATATCTGTAATCGTCATTGCTATATTTATTATATGGGTATAATTTTGTTTTCTTTAATTTAATCGTGTTTTAGAGTAGAATTGTTTTGTGTTTGTTTTGTTTTTGTGAGTTTTTTTTATGGTTTCGTGTCAATCGGTTTAAAAATCTTTTAAAATAATTTAGATAATTAATAAGACAGATGCGATTTATTTATTTTTTCTCGGTCTTGTTAAAGATTTTTTTTTAATTGTCTCTGCTTTAAACACGTGATTAAATTATAGTTTTGGATTTTTAAAAGATATATTTCAAAATAAGCTACATTTCGTAAATTTAATATTAAATTTAAATAACGTTTACCTTAGAATAAAAACCTATAGTTTTTTATTTGTTAATTTATTATCATAGCACATAGGAAAAATTGAAATTAGAGTAATAGAACATAGAGAACCAGAGCAAAGATACCTCGGGATTGAAGGCGTATAGTCTAAGGGCATCAAAGCAATTGATTTAATTGGATAGGTCGACAAACGATCTGTCGCATAACTTGGTGACGGAATACCTCATAACATTGAGGAGTGCCAACTACCTTGTCGGCTTTTCGAGGTTGAGGGATTTGACAATTTGGGGATTGTCGATCGGGGGTTAGGAAGCATCCTCTTTAACCTCACGCACACAACGAATGCGTTTTTCCACGCTGGTATTTTGTGAAGCCGTGGTATCACTCCGATCAGGCTAGTCCATTTGAGGTTTAGAATAGATCTCCTACACTTTCTTGAAAATTCAGCTCATTCGTGGTTCTAAAAGCTCTATATGTGTATTAATCTGTAGAAATTAATTAAATAATATGTTTATAATAATATTTGATAGAGCAAATTTTTGATCGTTGTTTGAATAGAATAAACACCTAAAGTACCTACTTGACCGATTTTAAAGTGGAATATGTTTTTTGTTTTCGATTGAACAGGCTCTGAAATAAATTGAAAAATTACAAAAATAAAATTTCAATGTTGAGCATTCTTTTCTGTTTTCTGTAGTTGGGGAGCTACATTGTAAACTACATGTTTGAAAACATCAGTAGTTTTAATACATGATTGGATTTTTGCTTCGATTCTACGATGGACTCTTCCTCTTTTTAAAAAAAAAAATAACTTTATGATTTTCTCCTGTGTTGTGGGTGCGTTTACAAGCATACAGTGTCACATACACATGACACCCAGACCCGAAACAACAATTTGTGGATCACACGAAGTGTTGTTCCGTGCGGGAATCGAACCCGCGACACTTTGCACGGCAGCCAGTTGCCCAGCCACCGCACCAACCGTGCAGTCAAAGTTTCTAGTCTATAGCCGTATAGATTCGGCCTTTGCTTGAGTCAAAGTCAAAATCAAAATCATTTATTCCAACTAATCCATAAATAGGCACCTTAGAAACGTCAAAATAGAATAGTAGTCTGTCAGTCTGTTCGTCAGTGAAGCTAGGTGCTCGTTCCAAATTGTAGATTCCAATGGAGAAGAACGAGCAAGAAAATCCATCGTTATTCCTTTTAAAACTCAGATCCAACGTCTGTCTCATCACTAAGACTCTCAGTCTCTTAAAATTATCCAGTGGTCAATCAGTTTAATGGCGGTTTCCGATGGCCCGATCAATGTTAAAATCAACTACCTAGGTGTCAAATCTCTTGTCAAGTCATCTGATTGGTTGTTGATAATTCAGTCAACCAATCAGATGACTTGACAAGAGATTAAATTGATTTTAACATTGATCGGCCTTTCGGAAACCAGGTGTAAGTAATTACCTAACTAAATGTAAACGATATTGGTATGTCTATTGTATCTTAAAGTTGTCTAAATATAGTAGGTATGAAAAAAAATTTACAATCAGGTATTTGCCTAAATCGATGTTAGCTAATAAACTGAATTTAAATAATCCTTGTATGTATTTTATACGAGCTCTTTAATATAAAGAGACATACCAACATTGTTTACCTTTAGTTAACCACCTAAGCCGATATAGCATAGTGTTGTGCAACGTTTAAAAATATCGTTATCGTTATATTTGTAAGAATAATCGTTATTTTAGTAATAATAATATTTTTATTTGTTTCAGGAACCGTATAAAGTGAAAATAGTGAAACAAGCTAAGCCTAAAGTAGCTCCAGATTATAAACCAGAGGTATAAACTATTTATAATAAGAACCAATATTTCTTGACCTCTCTGAAATGTTTAACGAACATAACTCCTTCCTCCTCCTCCTTTCCTCCTTCTCCTTTTATCGCGTTAATTCTCACTTACTTAACCAATTGCCGTATATCGGAGATGTCTAAGTTAACTGATTATTTTTGGAACGAAGTTCCTTGTAGCGCGCTGCGAAAGGGCGCGAGACGGAAAGAATAAATTAAGACGAATAGTATTTCCGCCCCTTATTCTCTTTCTCTTTCTCTTTCTCTTTCTCTTTCTCTTTCTCTTTCTCTTTCTCTTTCTCTTTCTCTTCTCTTTCTCTTTCTCTTTCTCTTTCCTCTTCTCTTTCTCTTTCTCTTTCTCTTTCTCTTTCTCTTTCTCTTTCTCTTCTCTTTCTCTTTCTCTTTCTCTTTCTCTTTCTCTTTCTCTTTCTCTTTCTCTTTCTCTTTCTCTTTCTCTTTCTCTTTCTCTTTCTCTTTCTCTTTCTCTTTCTCTTTCTCTTTCTCTTTCTCTTTCTCTTTCTCTTTCTCTTTCTCTTTCTCCCGCTTTCTTAGTAAGCGAGCGATTATTTTTGTTCAGTGTATATTAACTGTTTTTTTAAAGACAATATACTTATCTTATTTGTTAAATAGTAATAAAAATAATATAATTTTTAAACAATAATATTGTTAATACAATTCCTTCACTAATTAATCGCAAGGAGCTTCGTTCCAGCCTCGAAATTTTTATTAAATCAATTTTGATTTTTTTTATTTTTATTTTTTGTCTAACTAAGTATAACTAATCAATAATAAATAAGTATGTGCCTTACCTTTTCTGCTTTTATAAATAATGTTATTTTTTTTTAATTTGTAGCTATGAATTTATATAGAAAAAAAAAATGCTTTGGTCACTTCCTTTTTTAAAAGCGTTTATGCAGCCCGGTTTTGCAAACTTTCAAATCATAAATCACGGAAAATTACTGTACTGATTTTAATGTAACTTGGTAATCATATGCCACATAGTAATTTCGGTTTCGCCCGCTGCACGGCTCCATTTTAATATAATACATTAATATGAAAAGCTAATTTAAACAGAAAGTATCTATTGCTAATGTTGTAATTGTGTTCAATGGATAAACCTTCCTCTTCAATCACTCTGTCTATTTAAAAACCGCAACAAAATCCGTTGCGTAGTTTTAAAGATTTAAGCGTGCATAGGGATATAGGGTCAGAGAAAGCGACTTTGTTTTTATACTATGTAGTAATGATTACCAAGTCGATTGAGGAAAATCGGTTAAGTATTTTCCGTGATTTTTTTATTATTTTCTAATTGAGATACTAACTCAAATAAATATTCAGTGGATGTAATTTCGTATAATAATATACATAAACCTACCTATTTATATTAATTATAGATTTAAATTTATATCCTTGTGTTTTTGAATGGGATTGTTTTTAATTAATAATTATTAATATTTGAAGATAATAAATAAATGGATATTTATATTTTATATTATGGAACTTATTTACTCTGTGATACGTGTTGCTAGTGGAAAAACTTTTTGGTAATAGTTGAAAGCGAGAAAAAAATTCTTAGGGCTGATTTTTCAATGGTTAGATAAAAGTTACCTGGGGAATAATTATGATGCTGCCGCGGCAAAATGTTTGTGTAAGACAGTGACAGCAACAATTTTATTCCTCAGATAACATTTATCTGACTATTGAAAAATCTGCCCTTAAACAAAAACTTTTTTGAGTTATTTGGTATGCAGTTAAGAAAATAATTATTGATTCAACACAGAGACTTGTTATGTGATAGGTCGGCAAACGAGCAGACGGATTACCTGATGGTAAGCAATCAGCACTGCCCATGGACATTCGCAACAAAGGAAGTTTAAGTTACGAGTGCTTTGCCGACCTTTTATGGGTTAAGGATTTTGGGATTAGAGGAGGGGAAGAGAAAGGATTTTGCCTCCAGTAACCTCGCTCACACGATTTTCCGTGAGGCTGCAGTCGATCTGACCCATCTTTTTAGAGATTTAGGGATTGGGAAGCGATAAGGGAAGGGCAATTGGGTCTCCGAAAACCTCACTCACACGGCGTAACACAACGCTGTGGTTGTTTCACGCCGGTTTTCTGTGAGGCCGTGGTCGAGCCGACCCATTCGTGCCGAAGCATGGCTCTCCCACACTTAATTCTTAGCTGCATACCGAATAACTGTGCAGATCACACATTGTTTTTTTTTAAAGTAGACACTTTATAATTGGAATTATTTCTGTTATTTTAATACTTACTTTTACACCATGTTATCATTTCTTTAGAAGTTGTTTTCGTCTAATCATAAACATAATTTATATGTACCTATATATATAGGGTGATTGGTAATTAGTGACCAATATTTAAACACGTCATTGTACTAACGATAACAAAGCACTTTCCCAAAGAAACTGTAGCGACATCTATCGCACAACATTAACAACAGCACCAATCACGTGCAAGATTCTACATCGCGGTATAAGCGTCCTCAACGCAATTAGCACCGATACAAAAATCCCGACCACAACCGTCCTATAAAAAACTATTTATCTATACTTTAACTATTTTATTTTTGTTAAATACTATCCAAACTAATATTACAAATGCGAAAGTAACTCTGTCTGTCTTTTCTTCACGCCTAAACTACGGAACCGATTTCTGTGAAAATTGGTACAGACCGAGAGTTTAAAACTTGAGAAAGGACATAGGATAGTTTTTATTCCAAAAATCTGCAGGAATTTACTATTCCACGCGAACGGAGTCGCGCAATGAGCTGATATCGCCAAGGCTCCGCGTGACCGCGCCCGCGTTTGAACTTTACACAGTAATTTTTTATAGTATTTTTTACTAGCCTGTAATGTCCCACTGCGGTGCAAAGGCCTCCCCATCTCGCTTCCACACCTCCCGAACTTTCGACCGTGTCCACCAGTCTTGACGATACGCGTCTAGATCTTCACGCCATTTTTTCCGGGGCCTACCCCGAGTGCGGCATCCATCCTGAGGTGTCCACTGGGTGAGAATAGTGGCCCATCTCTCCGGATGCATTCGGCTGTCGTGTCCGGCCCGGTCCCGCTTTAATTTTGCCGCCTTTTGACCCACATCAGCGACTCCTGTTCTGGAACGTATCACGGATATAAACTCATAAAAATATAATTTAAAAAAAGTTTCTTTGGGAAAGTCGTTTGATATCAAGAGTACAATTACGTTTAAAATTAGTCACTAAGTACCAGTCACAGTCCAGATTTCAGAAAGGCACCACGATCTAGAACATTTTTATACAATTCAAATATAAAATTCATTTTTTGTAAAAAATCATTCTTATAGATATTCATTTATTTGTTATTGTTTATGAATGACTGTCGTTTGTGATGTGAAGTCGTCATACCAAAAATGCCTATTTGTAAATATAAATTTTTTGTCCAAATTTTTCATCGGCTATCGCTCGATTACAGATTTTTTTTTGTAGTAGAAATTTTGCTGGTACTCGACGTTATCAAAAATATATTATATGGACTTTTCAATGTACAATTGCATTTGTAAATTTTACGATATATTTACTAAATAAATTACTTTTTCTAGGTAATTTTAAAAAATATGCAACTCATAAGGCATGTCAATTTTGACAGTTCGACAAAAAAAGTTTCGAATTGTGTGTCGAGTAGTTTCCTAGGTCAAAAATTAATTAATTTGACTTTTCAATACAATTAATTATTAGAATAATACTTAATCATACTTTATAAATTCTATATATATATATATATATATATATATAGAAGACTATAGTTTTTGACATTTCAATATACAATACAACATTGAAAAATACCTTACTAAAATTTTACTCATCGACCTCTCTATTTACAAAATTTTTGATATTTTTTTTTTAATTAAGTAAGCTATTTGTCTTAAAAACACTATGTAAAACGTCGTATTATGGAGTTTCATACCAAAATATGAGAGTAAAGTATCGTTTTTACATTTGTATAAAAGTATTCAATTTGACTAGTTGGAAACTACCGTATTAGAGCAGTTTTGAGTTAGCATTTTCGTTTTATAGATGGCGCTGTTATCAATTACGTCACCAACCATGTCCTCACGTGTGAACGTTGGAACCTTTACCTTCACCAGACAATGTAAATACCATTACCTCAATAATCTCCTCCACAGGACTTCGAAACTGGCCCCCTACCTTGGGAGGAGCGAGCAGCGACAGAACCCTCCCTCCCACCAGTAGAGCCGGAGGAACCGATCCTCATTCCGGAGGTTCCAGAGTTCTTGGAGGCCGTCGATCCTTTGAAGGAGAGCGAGGTTCCAGATCTTGAGGAGACAGGTGGGGTTTTTGATAATGTTACAATGGAAGGTCGTACCATGCTTCAGCAGTCGGCACGAATAGCCCTGGCCTTATCCTTCTCTCCCCACCCGTTAATCCCCAATACCCTTATCTCCAAAAGGCCGATAATGCTTTTGTCACTTCTTTGGTGTTGTCTCATGGGCATCACCAAAAGCTTACCTTCAGGTAATTAATCTGCTCGATTGCCACCGTATTACATAAAAAAGGTGGTGCAATAGTGGATTCATCCTGACTTTTTGACTTAGGTAAGCTATCGGTGGTCCTATAAATTTAAGCGAATTCTATGGAGCGAATAGCTATAAGGTCAACATTAGCAGAACGCTAGACACCGTACATTTGGGTCTGGCCCTAGGTATTATATTATACTAAGTATAGCTTCTCTCGTGCGGTTTCACTCGCTGCTCAGCTCCTAAAAATCGTGATGACAGGCACACGATTAACGGCTAGCGTAATAGTTAATCGCCTATAAAACAACTGTTGACACACACTGTGTGTGTGCTGTGCACACGTCGTGGTGGCCCGGAGGTTAAGCAGCTCGCTTCTCATGCATTAGGGGTGGGTTCGAAACCTGGCAAGTACCAATGTGACTTTTTCCGAGCTATATGTACTTTCTATGATTATTTAGAAACAACTGACATAGGGTGAAGGTAAACATCGTGAGAAAACCTGGACTTAAAATTTCTAATTATAAGTTTGAAATCGCCAACCCGCATTGAGCAAGCGTGGTGATTAATGCCTTTGCTCCCTTTGCTCAGCAGTGGGCACTTATAGGCTGATGATGAAAACAACTGCTATAAAAGGGCTACTAGTGATGCTAAACATTATAACACCATACCAGTGATGCTATAAAACATCACGCTAGCCTTCTTCGATGAACGGACTAAGAAACACAAAAAGAAGATTAGCGCGTTCAAACCAACTAACTCTTCAGCTTTATAATATTAATAATAAAGTATAGATTTTACAATCCCAAATTTTCTCTAATAACAATTTAAAATTCTCCACAGGCATACCTCTCCCACCTCCAAAAGAACCAACGCCCCCACCAGCCGTAGAAGAGAAGCAACCAGAACCGATACCAGAAGTGCGAGAAGAAGAAGCAGAAGTAATCCCAGAAGCGAAAGAAGAAAGAGAAGAGACGAAAGAAGATATGGAGAATAGAATGGCTCAGCAGTTGGTGAAAAGTGTTCAAGGGATGGTCGGTAAGTGGATAAAGATAACATCATATCATTTGGTCTTTTTTCTAGCCATCAAGGTAGACCGCGTTCCCTTCAATTAGGGTTTTCTGAGATGTTCCCCCCGTGAGATGGCAGCGCTATAACGTCAGGTCCAACTACCTGTCAAAACACATACACGATTTATATTTTTCGATCATTTCTTTTTTTGGTTTAAGTATTTATTCTTAAAAACGTAACAAACGGAATATTGTTTCCCAAAATGGCACAGTGCAGTTGTGCAGTGCCTATGTATGCAAATAAAAAAGGAGGACATAAGTTCCCTACAGAAGATAAAAGCCGATTAGCCATGATAAAATAAATAACACTTGCAAATACATAACATTTTATTATAATAATAATACGTTCGGTAAGAATCTGTGCTATCTGACAGCTGTTTGGACCTGACGCATGCGAAGCGCCGCCTGGCAGAAGAAAAAGTGTCGAAAACCCATACTGTTTGTATACTGTTAAGTTTATTTTCGCGAGCTAATTTGTGGAGCGGAATTCTTTTCCGGAGACTGTGTTACCATATGTACTTATGCGTGCACCATCGTAGGTCACATCATTCAAGCAAAAATTGCAAACCACATATTTTTATGTATGTATCGTAGTAAAAATCCGTTATTTCAACATAGCAAACTTACCTACACTCCAATTATATTTTAAGGACAAGAATCTTGTGTTGTTTTCTTCATGACTTTGTTTTTTTCTAATAGATATTTTGTTTCTCCAGATCCAAACGCGAGTCTGGATCAACAGCTAGCACAGATGCGAGCCCAGTTGGCAGCTCTGGCCCAGCTTCCAGGAGTGATTCAACAATCTCTAGAAATGGTGTCCCAACAGCTCAACAAGATCTCCCATCAGGTTAGTTTGTTTACAGCTTCATGCCTATGGCACATGCCTCTTCTATATTTTTTTAATGTCCTAGGTCGGCAAACTAGCAGACGGATTACCTGATGGTAAGCAATCAGCGCTGCCCATGGACACTCGTTATACCAAAGGTGTTACTACAAGTGCGATGCCGACCTCTTGTGTCGGGCGACTTGTGGCGGGGTCTTGTGGTAGGTTGGAGATCGCAGTTTAAAAGGTTCAGGTTTATCAGAGAGCGGTCTACCTGGTCTCTGTCGAATATGCTTCTTACGACTCCAATGAGCAAAGAAGAGGATAGAAAGTCACAAGGACAGACAGAAGCCACCAAATATCACAATACAGCTGAAATCCAACCGGGGTTGCGGGTACACGCGCAACAAGGTACCGCGACCGGCTTGGAGCAGGAGAAGGAACGGGGCGGTTTTAGTCAGTAAGAGTCTGACACTCTCTCTCGCCTCATCCTGGGCTGAAAAAGACCCGAATCTGAGGCGATCACTATTTCCATTATAAATGTTTAGGCAGTCTTTATATAATCCGTCTTTATTTTTTTGCACAGGAAATGCGCATGGAGGTGTCTCATTCTGAACAACAAAGCTACGAGCAAATTGAAGGTACGTTTACCCAATTAATTTTTATTTATGACTTTTTGGACTAGGTCGGCAAACGAGAAGACGTATTACTTGATGGTATGCAATCGGCGACATCCGATGGGTTACCCATAATATCGGTCACTAATAAGTGACCATTAGCTATTAATTTCATTATTTAAAATTTCAAATATTTTTACTAACCTAATAAATTTTCCAACAGCTACTCAAAATCACGAAATGCAAACTATCCAAGAAGTTAATGAGAATAACATAGAAGCAGTTCAGAACGCAGAAGCGCAAAAGAACGAAGAAGAGAAGAATGAAGCAGAAGTAGTAGAGAAGATGACAATAGAAGAAATACCAAATGAGGAGAACGAGCAAAAAGTTCAAGAACAGCCTAAGACACCTGTCATGAGTGAAGAAGAGATTAGAAATGAGAAACAGAGAAAGGTAGGTGAAGAACATGCAATAGTTTAAAAATAATAGCTTTTAGATAAAAAAATAGGAGTCAGAATGGAGTTTTTAGTCATTCTTTAACCTTTCTTGTTAGAAAATATTTAAATTGAACTAGGTTTTTGAATCTAATTAATAGAATTAATTTAATCCAAACATCTACCAACGTCGTACCTCCATACAATCTGCAAAACGAAACGACATCGCTTCATGGTGGATATCCTACCCACGAAGCGGTTCGCCTCCAGTTTTATCACCAGAACCGCTAAAAGAGTGGAATTCTTTGCCGGAGTCTGTGTTCCCCGAAGGGTATAACCTGGGTGTGTTCAAGGCCCGAGTGAATAGGTTGCTTATGGGTAGATGTGCTCCATCGTAGGTCGCATCACCGCTTACCACCAGGCGTGATAGCGGTCAAATGACTGTTCTTAATAAATTGAAAAAAGATATTAGGATCGGTTATAAATTTTCATCAAAAAAGACATTTGATTATCATTGTAAAAAAAACACAATTCAAATCGTTGATATCAATTTATACATATTTTACAGGTCTATTTTCAGCGAATTACAATATTAAATTGATTATTTACACATTTTTTTACTTGCTTATAACAAAGTCGTTTCAAAAACAGCTGAGAAAGATAAACAATTTAAAATATCTTGACTTAGCTCACGAGGTTGTTGACATGTGGAGTGTGGACTCGGCTATCATTGTACCGATAGTTGTGTCGGCAAATGGGTTAGTCCCCAAAAGCCTCGACAACCACCTTAAGAGGCTGACGTTAGGCGGATGGATCAAGGACGAATACAGAAGGCAGTCCTCCTTGAAACGGCACGTCTATCTTGAGAAGTGGTTTCTGAATCTGGCGTCTTAACGTGGCCAATAACTTAGACCAGGTTTTCGCTTTTATTTTGTAGGTATTTTAATTTTAATTTTGACAAAATTTAACACGTTTTCGTCGTGAACAATTTAATAATAATAGTAACTTGACATAACATTATAAATGCGAAAGTTACGATGTTTGGATGTTTGTTACTCAATCACGCCAAAACGGCTGGACGGGATCTGGACGAAATTTGGCACAAGCATAGTATACACTCCGGAATAGGACATAGGCTACTTTTTATCGACATACAACGCGAGCGGAACCTAGTTCCGATATGTACAAAACAATGTTTATTTTCACAAAAATCACTTATTTAACCCTGTTAAATAACATGAATATAGGAGGAAGCAAGAATAGAGCACGAGTCTCGTTTGGTGAAGCAACATCCAACGCCTCGTGCTTCGAAACCGAAGCGTGTTTTTGGACCTCCCGATCCAGACCAGACCCTAGCGGTAGTATTACCAGGAGGACGTCGCTGGAGAAGCACTCAAGATGTCTATGATGAGCAGAAAATCAAAGAAATGTTCGAAGCGCAGTCTGAAGTTATCAAAGGGAACGCCATCGGGTACTTGAGTGTTTTTTTTTAATAGCAACTATACTGGGTCTAACCATGACGTTCCAAGTAAAATTGTTTTAATTTTACTTCAGTGTGGGTAAGAGAAGGAGCTATACAAGTTGTCTAGCTCTGTCTCTCTCCCACACTTAAGTAAGATTAAAACAGTCTTACTTTAAATATCATGGTTACTCTTTTGACACGAACTAAATTTATTGGGAATAATGACTTAAGTACTGAGAAAAGCTCAACTAGTTTCAAGTTACAATAATTATCCTACGTACATTAGTCGTTATTTACAATAGGTAATGAATTTGAAAATGTTTTTTTTTCTGTTGTCGTTGTTCTTTTTTTTTTAGGTTATGTCTAACCTGTCAAACTAGCTAGTGTCATTGCGTTCTTGTAGTTGTCACGATGTCAAATTCTTTTCAGTTTTTTTTTAGTGTGGAGAGAAGGTTAGGAAGAGAATTATGTATTTTTTTTAATTGAGAGATTCGCATTTGAACCTATATAGTGAAAAAGTATAATGTTTTTATTTATTTTTTATTTTTTTTATATTATGTTCGTTTAAGAAAATATGCTTCTATGGTGGCGCCATCTACATTGGTTGTTTTTCAAAGGGAACTTCAAAGAAAAGAGAAAGTGATTTTCTTAAATCTTCTCTTCATACTAATTCGCAATGAATGTTACATTGGTCTAAGGTTCGATTCCTGGGTTCGACAACTTTCGAAACTTTTCTCAGTATCGCCTGTTTGTATCGCCATTCGCCATTTTACATGAAATTCATGAAATAACTGGCGAAAGTAGCACAAATCGATTACTTAGCCAACTAACTTAATGAGCCATTCAACTAACGGCCTAGCTATCTAAAAAAATGACATCGCAGTACAATTTCAATCAGCTATTTAGTAAAATGGCTAGTCATTCAGGCCTTTAGTCACACGGCTAATTAAGCTATTTAACGGCGACATAGATATTATAATTAGTATATCTACTTAGTAAAGAAAAGTTTCGATAACCTATCTATCCATAGACTCGCAAAAAACAAAGAACAGACTGGTAGTTTCCAACTAGTCAATTTCGATACTTTTATCCAAATGTCAAAAACGATACTTTTCTATGAAACGTTGAGTTATGACGTCATAGCATTTTTAACTTACTTATTTCTTAAGAATTAGCTAAAACATGTATAGAAAATTTTGCATATCAACAGATCGATGACTAAAAGTTGTTTAATTGTATTGAAACGTAGAATTAATTTATTTCTTTACCTACAAAACTACCCGATTATGATAAATATTTATTATTACTAGGTATATTCATTCATTCGTTTGTTCAAAAAAAGAAAAGAACTGTGGAATTAACGGTCATTTGTGATATTTCCGAAACGACAGAAATTTTAAAGTTCAAAAAAGCTATTATGCTTTTGAAAAATTCACTATAATTTGACAAGATACTCGACTAGTTTCAAGCCATGCTAGAGGCCTAGGTATATTCATGAGCAGCATTCCGCGACACGCGACGCGGCGACTGTGGGCCTCTAGCATGGCTTCAAACTAGTCGAGTATCTCGTCAAATTATTACGCGAGTAAGCCGAAAACATAATAATTAATTTAGAATGTCTCAAGAAAGTTCAAAAATGTTCTTATAAGCACTTATTCCGTGGTCGCGATGAATCATCACCCACCATTTAAGAGGTTAGGATGCCCACAAATTATGACATTTATATGTACTGGGGGTACTTATAAGAAATTCAACACTTCATAGACGTGATTTCACTACCCCAAAAAGCGTGAATAAGCATGAGAATATTATTTTTTATTTGTACAGAATGTAGGTATTACAAAAAGATGTTATCAAGATTTCAAGACCATGTAGGTTACCTACATTTTACCTTTTGGCATGCAAAAAGTTATGGATTAAGCGCAATGAGGAACCGCGACCTCGGCCCAGAGCAGGGGAAGGAACAGGGGGGTTTTTAGTGAGTAAGAGTCTGACACTCCCTCCCGCCCGGCCTTGGGCGGGAGAAGTAATTTGATGATTTTCCCATCACAATAAAAAAAATGCAAAAAGTTATGGGTAGACAATTGGTACAGTTCATATATATTGTGTATACAGTTCATATAAACATCGCAGTAGGTAGAATAGTACCTACGTTATAGTACAAGTGTGTAATGTTGGTGATTGCCGCAGGCGCATTGAGGCCCGAGCCGTCACGCGAGGGTCATAAGAGCCGAGGACGGTAGGTAGGTAATCACCAATACACACGTGTATAATACTAATACGACGTTCCTCTTAAATAAAAAACTTCAAAAGACAAAAACGAGACGAGTTGTGAAAAATTTTTCGTAATGGCGGGAAAAATTCATCATTATTCCTATGCGCGCGCATCGTCCATAGACTAAACTGTTATGTTCTTTTTTTGGGCTGTTTGCGGATAAAATTCTAACGCAAATGCAAGCGTAACTCAACCAGTAATTTTAAAAAAAGTCTATTAATCACTCGCAAGTATCTATGAGCGGCGCAGATTGCATACAGTCACATTCAATCTGCTTGAAATAAATAGATAGGTTTTCGAAGCTTTTCCTTATTACAATAATCTATTAGAATTATCATTAATTTGTCATTTTTATGCATTTCTCTATCATTGTAGGTTTGAGAACAAATTTGAAAGCGAACTGCTTCCATATGATAACAGGTTTGGCAAATATTTCATTAGTTTTAAGAAACACACGAATTTTCATCAAGCTATTGAAACTAGAATAGAACAGCGTTGTTTTGCCGTGTGAGTGAGGTTACCGGAGACCCAATCCGTCCCCTATCCCAATCCTTCCTCATTCCCGAAATCTCTCAATCCCTAATCTCCAAAAGGTCGGTAACGCACTCGTAACTCCTCCGTCGATGCCCGAGCGTACGGCGCGTAGCGTTCTGCGCGCGCCTCAAAGAGGCAATAGACCACCACAGACGGGGCTTTATAGGGCTGATGTTCAGTCGGGGTTGCGGGATAAGCGCAATGAGGCCGCGACCTGGGCCCAGAGCAGGAGAAGGAACAGGGGGGTTTTTAGTCAGTAAGAGTCTGAGACTCCCTCCCGCCCGGCCCTGGGCGGGAGAAGTCATTTGATGATTTTCCCCTCACAAAAAAAAACTCCTCCGTCGTTGCGGATGTCCATGGGTGGCGCTGATTGCTTACCATCAGGTAATCTGTTTGCTCGTTTGCCGGTCTATAACATAAAAAAAAATAAGCTGTTAGTCCGTTTGGGGTTTATCAGTCCAAGATAAACTGGTTTTAATAGCTTGATGATCTTTCAAAGGAGATCGGACGGAATAGCAAGAAAGAGAATACGGTATTTTACAATTAGTCAAATACAATAAGTACCTACTTTTACGGCTGGTTTTTCAATAGTCAAATAAATGTTATCAAAGGAATAAAATTGTTGCTGTCACTGTCTAATACAAACATTCTGTCGCGACAGCATCAAATTCGTTGCGGGATCCAAGACTGCCATTCATGTCCCTAGGACGCGGCGGACTTCATTGTTCCGGTGTTTTCATGGTTGTATCTACTGTAGATCCTGGTGCACAGGAGTTACAGCGGTTTTGTGCTGTTGTTGGTGTTGATGGGGCTTGTCCCATAAAAATATACACATAATTACCAAAAACCATATTCCAGAAATTGTTATTTCAACATCACTTGCCTTACGTCCGATCTCCTATTTAGAATTTAAAAAGAAATATACATTTACTAAGTATTTTAAAAAGATTTCCTGCTTCTCATATAGAGTTCTAGGCAGAAACCTGGCAAGTACCAGTGTGACTTTTTCCGAGTTATATGTACTTTCTATGATTATTTAGACACCACTGACATACGGTGAAGGTAACATCTTGAGGTTAACTGGACTGATAATTTCTTAAAATAAGTTTGAAATCGTCTATCCGTTTTGAGCAAGCGTGGTTATTGATAACCATACCTTTGCAATCCATTGCAAATCTATAATTAATGTTTTAATTTTTAATGTATTTTAGCATATATTTTGTTAAAACTACTACCACTGCTATATTGTAGCATAAAAGAGCGCGACCGGGTGCGATTGTAGTTTGCCTAATCGCCTTTTATAAGTACTAAAACAATACGGTAGTTTCCAACTAGTCAAATTCAATACTTTTATCCAAATGTCAAAAACGATACTTTTCTATGAAATTTGTATGATACGCCAAATTATGACTTAATAATATTTTAACGTCAAATAGCTTACTTATTTCTTAAAAAGTAGCCAAAAAGTATCGAAAATTTTGTGTATCGATCGATCGTTGAATTAAAGTATAGTAATTTTTCAATATTTTATTGTTTTAAAACGACGAATTAATTTATTTTTGACATAGGAAACTATCCAATGCAGATTTTTCAATATTCAGATAAATGTTATCTGAGGAATAAAACTGTTGCTGTCACTGTCTTATACAAACATTCTGACGCGACAGCATCATAATTATTCACCAGGTAACTTTTATTTAACCATTGAAAAATCAGACCTAAATCAATTTAAGACGTCTTGCAACCAGTGAGATACATTTTTTGGCTGGCTTTTCCCCTTTCGCAATGTTTGGCAACGTCGCTTGAATCAAGTATGCTTGGCAACGCCGCAAAACGGATTGTGTAAGCAACATTTTATTTAAAAAATATCTGCGTTTCTTTTAAATATTACGCTACTAGAGGTTCTGAGTTCTGTTTATTAAGAGTTTTAGAGAAAGTTAATACTGGCCCGCTTATTCTGGCCTCACAGAAAACCGGCGTGAAACAACTACAGCGTTGTGTTTCGCCGTGTGAGTGAGGTTACCGGAGGCCCAGTTCTTTAACCTCTTCCCATCCCTTTCTAGTCCTTTAATATACGAAACCCTTGTCTAAAAAAGGCCGGCAACGCACTTGTAACTCCTTTGGTATAACTCGTTTGATAGTACATGTCCCTTGGTATTGCGGGTGTCTATGGGAGACGCAGATTGCTTACCATCAGGTAATCCGTCTGCCGACCTATTTCATGATAAGAAACATGATATACCTATGCTTAGTAAATGTATATTTTTATTGCACGAAAAACTAACATTTTTTTATTTGAACATAATTATAGTTTATTTTTACAATCAACCAATTTTGAATTCTATAATTTTTAACACCTATGACCTTTTTTGGATGAATTTAAACTTATTTCAAATTGATATAGAACTCAGAATTGATTGATTTACCTAACTGTCTTAGAGCTGATTTTTCAATAGTCAGATAAATGTTATCTGAGGAATAAAATTGTTGCTATCACTGTCTTATACAAACATTCTGACGCGACAGCATCATAATTATTCCTCAGGTAACTTTTATCTGACCATTAAAAAATCAGCCCTTACAGATATTAACATTTTAAATTAAATATAATAATCAGAAAAACATATTTTCCTTTTTATAAATTGTTATAAATAAGTGGTCTGCAAAACAATATCTTAAATACATAGAATCTAGGAACAGATAAAAACTCCTTTAAAAAAAATCCTTTCAGATTGTTTATGCATCACTCAATCTATACTATAACTATATATTAATATTATAAATGCGAAAGTAACTCTGTCTGTCTGTCTTTTCTTCACGCCTAAACTACTAAACCGATTTCTGTGAAATTTGGTACATACATAGTTTGAAACTCGAGAAAGGACAAAGGATAGTTTTTATACATCACCATTTTTCTTATTTAACTTTTATGTAGTACAATATGTTATTTAGAGCTGATTTTTCAATAGTCAGATAACTGTTATCTGAGGAACAAAATTGTTGCTGTCACTGTCTTATACAAACATTCTGACGCGACAGCATCATAATTATTCCACAGGTAACTTTTATCTGACCATTGAAAAATCAGCCCTAAGGTAATTTATTTTTTTATTATCTGTATGTAAGTAATAATTAAGGAATGTTTTATTGTTATATACATATGTCGTTCGTATATATGTTCATGTCAATTCTCGGATAAGGAAAAAGGTTACATTTGGTTTGCGCAAAAACCTGTTTTCTTTGCACCTTTTTTCTAGTATAAACGTTTTAGTTAGACTGCCTGTATTCTGTAACGTCATCATCAGTCGGAAGACGTCCATTGCTGGACAAAGGCCTCCCCCTTAGGCTTCCACATCGAACGACAAGTTGCCACTCACATCGATTGCCTCCCCGCGACTCTGACGATGTCGTCGGTCCACCTAGCGAAAAGACTTTATCAAATGACTTTTCCCGTCACTTTGGTTTCAGACTTTTCTTGACTAAAAACCCTCCCGTTACCGCTCCTGCTCTAGGCTGAGGCCGCGGTGCCTTGTTGTGCTTACCCTGCAACACCGGCTGAACATCAGTACGGCGCGTAGCGTTCCGCGCGCGCCTCAAAGAGCCAATAGACCACCACAGACGGGGCCCAATAGGGCTGATGTTCAGCCGGGGTTGCGGGGTAAGCGCAATGAGGCACCGCGACCTCGGCCTAGAGCAGGAAAAGGAACGAGGGGTTTTAATCAGTAAGAGTCTGACACTCCCTCCCACCCGGCCCTGGGCGGGAGAAGTCATTGGATAGATTTCACCGGACAAAAAAAAATTGGATTAAGACACCACAGACATACGGTGAAGGAAAACATCGTGAGGAAACCTGGACTTATATGTAATTTCTTATTATAAGTTTGAAATCAGTAACCCGGCTTTGAGCAAGCGTGGTGATTAATGCTCAAACCTTCTCCGTGTGAGAAGAGGCCTTTGCTCAGCAGTGGGCACTTAAATGCTGATGATGTGGTAAAATTTATGTTTCACTGTGTCCGTCTATTGTATATTGTCTCTCGTCTTATTTTTTATGTACATATTTTTTTTGTATTGTCCGGACTTTAAGAGACCTGTTCGCACAACGAAATCAAATTCGCAAGGATATTGTTTTGTTAGGTATAGAATTGAGCAATAATCTATACATCTATACTTATATTATAAAGAGGTAAAATTTGTAAGTTTATATGTAGGGGGTAATCTTGGAACCGCTAGTCGGATTGCCAAAATTCTTTCGCTGAGAGATAGCTACAATGTTCCTGAATGCTATAGGCTATAAACCTCACGCTGCGATCAAATGGAGCGGCAAGTGAAACCGTGTGAGAGTAGCGAGTGTTATTTATTAATGAATTAGGTCAATAACTTTTTTTTTCGAAAATAAATCATATCATCTACAATCATAACATTGTAGCTATCTGTCAGTGAAAGAATTTTGGCAATCCGACCAGCGGTTCCAAAGATCACCCCCTACATACAAACTTACAAATTTTACCTCTTTATAATATTAGTATAATGACGAATTACTCACGTGACATTAACTGAGAAAAGCTCGACTAGTTTCAAGTCGCAACGGGATCCATATTCATGAGCAGCGTACTTATGCCTTTTATTAATTAATGCTCAAACTTTCTTCGTGTGATAAGAGGCCTTTGCTCAGCAGTGGGCACTTATAGGCTGATGATGAGAATACGAATTTAATTTCCATGTGCGGACAGGCTTTGAGAAACTGTGGTTGTGATATTTCTTTGTGTTTTTTCTTGGAGTATTCAGATAGTACCTACCTAAATATAGACGCCACATAGGGTTGATTTTTCAATAAACAGATAAATGTTATCTGAGGAATAAAATTGTTGCTGTCACTGTCTTATACAAACATTCTGACGCGACAGCATCATAATTATTCCCCAGGTAACTTTTATCTAACCATTGAAAAATCAGCCCTTAGTTATAGAACCACTTACTGTCTATAGGTCTGTCTGTCGACTGTCTGCCGAGCGACGACACGTTGCTCGGCAGACAGTTGTCCAGTGCTTTATAAATGCAGAAAGATTGAAGTTAAGAAAAACTGCAATACGGTAGTTTCCAACTAGTCAAATTCAATACTTTTATCCAAATGTCAAAAACGATAATTTTCTATTAAATTTGTATGAAAAACTGAGTTATGACGTCATGGTATTTTTGCGTCAAACTCTTACTTATTTCTTAATTAATTAGCTAAAAAATATCTAAAACATTGTGTATCGAACGATCGATGAATATAAGTATAGTTACTTTTCAATATTTTATTGTATTGAAACGTCGAATTAATATATTTTTGACCTAGGAAACTACCCAATTTGAGTTGAGTGGGCGTGGTTTGTTTTACCGACCTTATCCCCCGCGCCCGCAGCGTCCCCTTTTTCGTCTAAGCTTAACGCCGACAAGAAAAAAAACCTAGTTAGAGCAACGTTTCTATAGTTTCAATTTTACTTCTAGAAGTCAGGGTTTTTTCATAATAACATTACTGTATAAATACTTTCATATCTGTGTATATGTATCTATATGTATTATAAATCTGTAGTATTTATATAGGATGGCATTTTGAACGAGGGTCATATTCTAGGAGCCGATTCTAGTGCTCATAAAAAACGACTTTTTCTATAAGACCTCTATATAGAAACCTTGTAGCGACATCTATCGCACAACATTAACAACAGCACCAATCACGTGCAAGATTCTACATCGCGGTATAAGAGTTCTCTACACAACTAGAACCGATACAAAATCCCGACAACAGCCGTCGGGCAGTAGCCCACCAGACACAACACCCGTCGGGTTGGAGGAACCTCCTTTTTCAATGGAGGATGAGGAATTTTACACGCTGTTCTCTTATACCTCTAAGACCTCAAATAAAAAGAATTAAAACTAAAACCCAACTACGACAAAACAAGACGCTGCAAATAAATTACTTTTGAGATTTGGATATTTTTATTTTTCAAAAGTCAAGAAAATCATTTATTCCAATTAGACAACAGGCACTTTTGAACGTCAAACAAAATTTTAAAGATATAGTGTCAGTCTGTCGGTCAGTCCTCTTAAAAAGCTATTTGCTTGTTCCAAATTGTAGATTCCTTTGGAGGAGACCGAGCAACAAACTCCATGGTTACTCTTTTTCAATCAGATTCACATACAGATTCCTTATACAAACAATTGGTTCAATTATGTGAGCACAGTGTAACACTAATATAGTTATTCAGAAAAAATTAAAAAGACAATAACCTTAAGGACAATAGACAGTGTGACCTTTGAGTGAGCATGACAACTCCAAGCTGTTACAAGGACCGACATTCTGCTAGTCTAACCAATTGTAATAGGTTACAGGGCACTCACATTTACAAATTTAACAAGTTTAACAATATTATATAATGAAAAAGTTTAGTTGTTAATTAGCACCACAATCGGCTCCTTTAATATGTAGGTACCTCTTTCAAAATCCTACCCTGTATAGACACTGTCATGATGGCCTCAAGAGAAAAGCGCCCGCTTCTCATGCATGAGTTAAGTTTGAAACTTGGCAAGTACCAATATGACTTATTCCGAGTTATATGTACTTTCTATGATTATTTAGACACCACTGACATACGGTTAAAGAAAACATCTGAACTTTTAATTTCTAATTATAAGTTTGAATTCGCCAATCGGCCTTGAGCAATCGTGGTGGTTAATTCTCAAACTTTCTCCGTATGAGAAGAGGCCTTTGCTCAGTGTAGGCTGATGATGATGTATATATTTACAAAACGTGTTTGTCTGTCTGTTGATGTGTCTGTTTCTCTGTTTGCTTGCATGGTCTGGTGGCAGATTGACATCTGGAACAAGGTCTGGCCTTGGGGAGACACTAAGTCTTATTGTAGAAAATATAGGTATGTAGGTATTTTGTATATTACCCTATTTTATCCAGTTATGTGTTAGGGGACGATGGCCCAGGGCGAAAAATTCTGGAGGGCGCCAAGGTCTGAAGTTGGAGTCTCTTGCCTCTCCTGTTGCAAACTCTCAGAACTGTTCTCTACGCTCTGTGCATATGCATATTTTTTTTTTGAGTTTTTTTGAGGGTTTGAGGTCGAGGAGGGACTCTAACGATATCAATACGATCAAAAAACTATCACTTGATATTGCTTCCCACAATTGGGCGCAACAGTATTTTCGCCCGGGTTATCAGTGACCCTTATATTATCTATGGATTATACCAGTAATATATAAGAACTACTGACATAGTATAAAACAAAGTCGCTTTCTCTGTCCCCATATCCCTATGTACGCTTAAATCTTTAAAACTACGCAACGGATTTTTGGTTCGGTTTTTTTTAAGACAGAGCGATTGCAGAGGAAGGTTTATATGTATAATAACATCCATTAAATAGTGGATAAATTTAATCAGAACCAGTTAGATAAAGAATTTGAAAGTTTTCTTACCTAACCTTAAAAATGACTCAAACATTGAAAATAAATGTTTTTTTTGTGTATTTAAATAAAACTACTAAAAATAAAATTAATATAAACAAAAACAATCTTCCAGACGTTTATTTTTAATACTTTTTTTTTTTCTTCTAATGTCAATTTGGAATGTCAAATTTCCAGAGAGTCAAACTGCCACCTAGTAGATTTCCATAGACTACGGGGAACAATGATAGACACTTATGAGAAGTTGGTTGAAGTGAGTCAAGGAAAATCGTTGCACCATCTCACCCAGTTTCATATGAAACTCATAACTGGAGTATAGTAAACTATATTTTAAATACTTATATGCAATGATAGCCATTCTTTAAATTTTTTAACGTAAACATCCCAACTTTGTTAGCATCCTATAAGTAGGTAGGTACCTACCCACTTATTAGCAAAGGCCTCTTCTCACACGGAGAAAGTATAAGCATTAATGGGAGAGACAAGCTTCGGCACGAATGAGTCGGCTCGACCGGAATGCTACCACGGACTTATAGAAAACCAGCGTGAAACAACCACAGCGTTGTATTTCGCCGTGTGAGTGTGGTTACCGGAGGCCCTATCCTTCCATCCATCCTCAAATACCGCCAACACAGACGTAACTCCTCTGCTGTTGCGGGTATACATCCAGCCATCAGGTACTCCGTTTAATCGTTTGCTGACCAATTACACCTGAAAAAGGCTGATAAGCGATTTCAAATTTACCCAAAATTTTATTCCACTCTCCATGTCCAAAAACCGTCAATCATCACATCCCTAACCCTGAAGGGCCGGCAACGCAATTGCAACTGTTCAATGGTCGTTCGTTCGTTCTTCCTTTAAAAAACTCTTTCATCCCCATTACATAGATGGTTGGCAGTCAACAACTGTGCGATTCACCCGTAACTTTCTGCCCCGCACAGCAAAACTTTGGAATGATCTTCCGGCGGCGGTATTCCCGAACCGGTACGACCTTCAAACCTTCAAGAAACGAGCGTACTCCTTCTTAAATGGCCGGCAACGTGCATGTGACTCCTCTGGTGTTCAGGTGTCCATGGGCGGCGCCGACCGCTTACCATCAGGTGATCGGTTTGCTCATATGCGTCCTATTCCAAAAAAAATCAAATGGCGGCCTTATTTGCTGTCAAGTATGCTCGTTTGCCCCCACAGCCCTTACAATAATACAAATGTCGTCCGGACCATTAGGGACAAATCAATACACATCTGTGTCATTCTCGAATGGGGCTGATGAAAAATAGTCAAATAGATTACTTTTGTCTAAATCTGTCCCCATATTGCGCTTGCCCCGCAACCCCGGCTGAACATCAGCCCTATAGGGCCCCGTCTGTGGCGGTCTATTGGCTCTTTGAGGCGCGCGTGGTTGTCGGCCGGGAGAGCAACCCTTGTTCATCATCCATAGATCCGCGGTTCCGGTGGCCTGAGATCTTCCCTCGATCCCCAACACCCGGAGTGTCATCTATGTACCTAGATGTATTTCTTTGATTTGTACCTACTTAACGTAAATTCTCGGCTTTTCTATTTATTTCAAACTTGTTTCTTTCTTTAATGAAATTTAAAGAATGGTTTAAACTGAGACATTATTTAAAAAAGGAACTTCAATCAATCGATCTCATGTATCGGGCATGGGAATTTGAAAAATCACGTTCATTTAAAAATCATAAGTGATTAGAAAAATTTCACCTCGAAAAACTGTTATAAAACATTAATTTATTTTTGTCTTAAAAAATCGACCGAATGCGTTTTGAATGCAGTGCTTGTTGTGTTATTTTTCCTAGATGTGAATCACTACATTTATAATGGCTGCTTTCCAATTGGAATGTCAAGGTCATTTCACTTTTTCCTGTCATCTTTTCTTCATCAGTTATAAATGGAACTTTTCAACAATCTTGAAAAATCCAAACTAATATTATAAAGCGAAAGTAACACTGTCCATCTGTCTTTTCTTCACGCCTAAACTACTGAACCGATTTCTGTGAAATTTGTTACAGACATAGTTTGGAACTCAAGAAAGGACATAGGATAGTTTTGATACTAAAAATCTGCAGGAAGTCACTATTCCACGCGCACAGAGTCGCGGGTAAAAAGGTAGTCGGTTATAAATGTTACTTTTTTCTGCCATCCTAAACCAGTGGTGACAGACCTGAGTGACATTAAATAGAGACGCCACAACTTTTATATTCGGAGTATTCTTGATGAATGCAGTTTAAGAAATTGCAGTGTACCTAACGCATTACAAAGGGCTTTAATAAATACACAGTCAGTTATTTAAAGAAATGTATTTGTGAAACGATATCTTTATTACTTAATGTAAAAAAATATTGTATTGCAGACCACATCTTTAATTAATATCACAATGAATTACCCCAACCTACACCTACAACTTTTAAACTTTGCTATTGTCTTACATATGTTAATTTTCTACTAAATTGCCGTTATACAGCACTTTATCTACAAAACTGCTGTTGTTTAACGGCACTAAGCTTTATAACAACGGCAATCTCACGGGACAAATGGCTGTTTCGTAGGTAAAACGGCAGTTTCGTAGATAGAACGGCAATTTCGTAGGTAAAATACTAAAAGTCTTACTCTTTAAAATACTAAAACACATTTTATCATGATTCAGGATAAACTTTATGAAATACGAAAAGCCTCCCGTTTCGCTGGACCACTTGAAACACTCGGAGGTTTACAAATTAGTCCACGACATGGATCAGACACCGCTAAAGAGGGTTGAGATGAGAACGCCTGTCATTTGTGAAGCTGATTACAGAGAGGTAAGATGTTTATTATCAATAATCTAATACCTATCACACATCATATTACCAGCCTATTAGTGCCCACTGCTGAGCAAAGGCCTCTTCTCACACGGAGAAGGTTTGAGCATTAACCACCCAGCTTGCTCAATGCGGGTTGGCGATTTCAAACTTATAATTAGAAATTATAAGTCCAGGTTTCCTCACGATATTTACCTTCACCGTATGTCAGTGGTGTCTAAATAATCATAGAAAGTACATATAACTCGGAAAAAATCATATTGGTAGGTACTTGTCTGATTTTGTAACTGCAACTTCGTGCATGAGAAGCTCAGAGCGTACCGTAGCGTTCTGCGCGCGCCTCAAAGAGACAATAGACCACCACAGACGGGGTCCTATAGGGCTGATGTTCAGCCGGGGTTGCGGGGTAAGCGCAATGAAGCACCGCGACCTCGGCCTAGAGCAGGAGACTCCCTCAGACCCACCCTAGAAGTAATTTGATGACTTTACCTTCCGGGCACCACGAAGTATTACGTGACTTTGCACACAACACTGAAAAATTTTAAAGAACTCTTTCTATTACAGCGTTGCCGTTCAATGACCCCGTCAGCTGAGAAGAAACACCTGCAAATACCCCAACAATTTCATCCTTAAGTACATGGACATAGAGTTCTGAATAGGAAGCGAGTTATCGAACCTCATCATCATTATATAAGCCTCCAGAGACTGATCGGTTGGTTGGGGGCGGCTATCTAAATTTCGATCAAGTATTAATATCAAGATCCCAGTACTAATTGGTCCGAATAAACTTCATTTTAATTTATAAATGCTAGGTAAACTTCTTTTATGGCGTCAGTAAATATGCTTTATTTTTATTAATCGTTAAAGTTTGTGATTGGAAAAAGGCAACATCGTTTTCGGTCTCAACCATTTTATTTATTTAGAGTACCTACGTAATCAATTTGTATATTAACGACAACACTACACGCCAAATAGTTGCCATAAGTTTTTTTTTTGTTGGCAACTGCGTCTCCAATACTTTGCCATAAGTTAAAATTCACTGAAATATTTTAATATTTTGACACCTGTCAAACATCTGAGCATATTTTTTTTATTATTATTATCTGTGAGTTGCATGCGTTGTCTTTGTTAATTAATTTTTATTCTTTTTTTGTACTATAAATAAATAATGAAGATTATTGTGTTTTTACTAAATAAATGAACTGTGTCTTTAATTTTGTTTTGTTTCAAACTACGTGGACTTTGACTTTTCAAAAAGAAACTCATTCCTACAGAAATATGGTAGTTTCCTAGTATCCTTCCAAAAATAAATTAATTCGACGTTTCAATCCTATACTAATATTATAAATGCGAAAGTAACTCTGTCTGTCTGTCTTTTCTTCACGCCTAAACGACTGAACCGATTTCTGTGAAATTTGGTACAGACATAGTTTGGAACTCGAGAAAGGACATAGGATATTGATTTTTATACCAAAAATCTGCAGGAAGTCGCTTTTCCACGCGAACAGAGACGCTGGCACAATACAATATTGAAAAATTAGTGGTTAAATCAAAGTACTACTTTGATTCATCTGTCGGGGACTGTTGATACACTTAATTTTCGATATTTTTTAAGAAGTAAGTGAGCTATGTGGCTCAAGAATACTATTACTTATTTCATAATTTGTAGTTTCATACAAATTTTAACAGAAAAGTAGATATCGCTTTTGACATTCGGATAAAAGTATTGAATTTGACTAAGTAGTTGGAAACTACCGTACAGATGGGGTAGTGGTGGTGAGTTAGTCTTCAAGGAGCTAGTTCCCAATTCCTAACGCTAAATATGTATCTATTAAATATGTTTTTATAAGTTCGAATTATCCGATGGTCAGCAATCAGCGCCGCCCAAGGGAACTCGCAACAACGAAGGAGTTACGAGTGCGTTGCCGACCTTTTCGAAATTAGGGATTTTGAAATTGAGGAAGTGTTGGGTCTCCGAGGACCTCACTCACACTTATACTCGGAATTTTAATTCCATTCCAGATTTGACAATTTCAGTGTTGCAACGTTATGACACGTAATAAATAGTGACGTTGCGAAATTATTCGATATGGAAATCGAATATTTCTGAATCCATTCCTCTCGTTTATAAATTTACTCTCGTAAACTAAGTTTATCAGGAAATAAAATATTTCTGAACCGATAATTTAGTTTTGACAATTAATTAACGATATGAGACATGTCTTTTGTAATTGTGTGTGAAATTAATAAAAAATGTGATCATGAAGGAATATGACATATAAAACAGACATTTTATAAATTGTCGCCGTCATCGCTATCGCTATCGCCGTTACTCTATGTAACACTTATAATGATTTGTGTCTTTGATATTTATTGTCAATTAACATACCTAGCTTACTCATTTTTTCCTCTTCTTTGAAAACATGGGATACACGTTTAGACCATTCGGTAGCCGTAATTTTTTGAATTCCTTCCTGAAACTGATTCACTGATTGTTTATCGATTTTTGTGTTCATCACTACACTGTTATATGTGGTATCATTATTTCACAAAATGACAGTGGTCAATGTCAAATTAGGAATCGAATTAAAAGTCTGACTATAGAAACACAACGCTGTGGTTGTTTCACGTTAATCTGTGACGCCTGTTGGTCGGATTGCCAAAATTCTTTCACTGAAAGATAGCAACAATGTTCCTGAGTGCTATAGGCTATAAAACATCACGATACGATTAAATGGAGCCGAGCAGCGGGTGAAACCGCGCGAGAGTAGCTAGTTTTTAATATTATAAAGAGGTAGAATTTGTAAGAATGTTTGAATGTAGGGGGTAATCTTTGGAACCGCTGGTCGGATTCCCAAAATTCTTTCACTAATAGATAGCTACAATGTTCCTGAGTGCTATAGGCTATAAAACATCACGCTACGATTAAATGGAGCCGAGCAGCGGGTGAAACCGCGCGAGAGTAGCTAGTTTTTAATATTATAAAGAGGTAGAATTTGTAAGAATGTTTGAATGTAGGGGGTAATCTTTGGAACCGCTGGTCGGATTCCCAAAATTCTTTCACTAATAGATAGCTACAATGTTCCTGAGTGCTATAGGCTATAAAACATCACGCTACGATTAAATGGAACCGAGCAGCGGGTGAAACCGCGCGAGAGTAGCTAGTTTTTAATATTATAAAGAGGTAGAATTTGTAAGAATGTTTGAATGTAGGGGGTAATCTTTGAAACCGCTGGTCGGATTGCCAAAATTCTTTCACTGATAGATAGCTACAATGTTCCTGAGTGCTATAGGCTAGAACATCACCCTACGACCAATAGGAGCCGATCAGCAAGATTGGCTAGTTATCAATATTTTATATTTAAAAAAAAAGAAGTACCTAGACTTCTTTTTTTTTAAATTACGTTGCCCCACATTAGGATTTTCTCCTGTGTCGTGGGTGCGGTTACAAACATACAATTTCACATACACATGACACCCAGACCCGGAACAACAATTTGTGGATCACACAAAGAGTTGTTCCGTGCGGGGATCGAACCCGCGAGACGTTGCACGGCAGCCAGTTGTCCAGCCACCGCACCAACCGTGCAGTCAACTTCTAAAGGAGGGTTTAAAAATAAAACAACGAAATTAATCAACAATCATTATATTCGTTTATAAACATAATTTCTACAGTGAAATATAACTGTGAAGCCTTAATTAAGTTCGTAATTATATAAAATAGCACCGATGTTAATCTATAGTAGTAGTATAGACACTAGACAGGTAAAATTTGTATGTTTGTATGCCTACATACAAACTTACAAATTTTACCGGGTAATCTTTGGAACCGCTTGTCGGATTACCAAAATTTTATCACTGATAGATAGCTACAATGTTCCTGAGTGCTATAGGCTATAAAACATCACGCTACGATCAAATGGAGCTGAGCAGCGGGAAACCGACGCTGTGGTTGTTTCACGCCGGATTTCTGTGAGGCCGTGGTATCACTCCGGTCGAGCCGACCCATTCGTGCCGAAGCATGGCTCTCCCACACTTTTTGAACTAAAGATTAGAATTCTCTCTATGCGTCTTATGCCTTAGTCTTCAGAATTTTCCGACTCCATACAAAACTGGCGCATTGAAAAAGCTGTGATAAGAATCGGTGCTATATTTATATAATTTCACCTTACAGGTAATTATAATTGCAAAGACAAGCTTAATGTTTACGTATCAGTGTTTACCGATCTTAACCGCTAGATGGCGCTGTTTTAAGAGCTACGTTAAAGGGTGTTTTTTTTATTTAAAATTTTATTTTTAATTCATTTTACCTCTGAAATAGCTCTGTATTTTTTAATTAGCTAGAAAACTGTGAATTTTTAACATTTAATATAGCTACAGGGATGTTACTAAAACTGTTTTTTTTTTACTTATATTTCCGTCTAATTATGGTAAAACATACATACATACATATTTTTTTTTTTATTTTTAAGCACCATATTCCACATCGATATAAACTACATTTAAATGCTTAACTTAGGCCAAATCCAGAACATTTTAGACGCGAAAATAAATTGCATATGTTTAAAAAAAAATCAACCTTATCATATGATTTTTGAGTGACAATAAGCTTAGATTAAATTGAAAAGGATTACAACATATGATACAGAGGTAATATAGAATCAGCAATAAAAGAAATCCAACCTTATTTTCAAAACTATAAATTTGTAAATCAATTAAAAATAAAAAATCGCTACACTGTCCTGTTACTACCAAAATAAGGCCCTGAAAAAAATTAAAAGAAATTTACGTAATATACATAAAAAAAGATTTTTCCAAAACTCGGCTCTGAATTGACAACAACAAGAAAATACTCAAACATCAACAGTAGTAAACTACACTACACAAGTCACTGTTTACAAGTCACCATTAGCTCATGACGATACCTAAGTACGTATCGCCTGGACAGTCCACGCTACCATCAGTTGACTGGACAATCTCTATACTACACGAGTCACTGTTTACATGTCACCATTAGCTCATGACGATACCTAAGTACGTATCGCCTGGACAGTCCACGCTACCATCAGTTGACTGGACAATCTCTACACTACACGAGTCACTGTTTACATGTCACCATTAGCTCATGACGATACCTAAGTACGTATCGCCTGGACAGTCCACGCTACCATCAGTTGACTGGACAATCTCTACACTACACGAGTCACTGTTTACATGTCACCATTAGCTCATGACGATAGCTAAGTACGTATCGCCTGGACAGTCCACGCTACCATCAGTTGACTGGACAATCTCTACACTACATGAGTCACTGTTTACATGTCACCATTAGCTCATCACGATACCTAAGTACTTCCTAGCTAAAATTTTAAATTGTTTGAGTAAATCTATACATATATCAACATTCAAATTCGTTACTTCTTACTTCTAAAACACTTCTATAGGAGAATACGAAATATGTGGACGATAAAAGCTGATAGGTATATCAGAGGAACAAAAAATGGAAGTTTGTGAAAAGGATTTTTTTTTGCATTGTGTATAACAATAGGAGACTATCCTATCACCAAGATCTGCTACAAATACTCAAAACTGCGTATCAACCAATCTGACAAATACGTATACCCATTTGTTACTGCAGCGCCATTACGGAGAGACTATGAACTACAAACACCCATTTTTTCATACAGCATCGAAATCAAGAAGTGTCGCTTGCTCTTTCAGGTTTATTAAAAGAGAAAGGGACAAGGGAAGCTTAGAAATGAATTTTACATTACACCTAGATTTGACAGTTAATCCTCTGACTTCAATAAAATTGCTATCTCTTTCAAACATGTAGGGAGAAAGCGAGAAGAATAATTAAGTACTGTAAAACATTTTTAGAGTACGACTTGTGTGTCCGACGAGTCTATTTTGATAAGAGCAATTCAGTTGCTTAAAGGAAAAGTCTGTTGCATTAGCAGGAATGTTGCTAAAAAGAACAAGTTTATAGCAATGGTGGTCTATTAACATTAGGACAAATGTTGCAAAAACTATCTATTCCTATAAAGAACTAAGCGATCCTATTAGGTGCGAAAGTCCAATGCGTAAGGGCAAGTCTATTGCCAACGAGAACAAAAGTACTGGTACAAGCGTGAGTCGATTGCTTTAAGGCAAGAGATCAAATTTATTACAATAAGGGTCAATTCTTAGAACAAATGTCAAATTTATTGCAGCAAAGGTATTTATTGCAATAAAGGTCAAACCTATTACAATAAAGGTCCAATCTTTTACAGTAAATGACAAATCGATTGCAATAAAGGTCAACTCTTATAATAAATGTCAAATTTCTTGCAAAAAAGGTCAAATTTGGTACAATTAAGATCGAATTCATTGCAGAAACGGTCAAATTTCTTGCAGTAAAGGTCAATTCTATTGGCAATATAGAAAAAAGGAGGAAAACCATCGCTCTAAATATAATTAAATCTAAAGTTGGGTCAGGTAAGGCCACATTTTATCACAAACTGACGACACAGACACATTCTAAAGTGTAAAAACGAATATAACACCAGAAGCATTGTGTATATAACTATTAAATTTACAGCTTTAAGAACACGACTTTTTTACTATTATAGTAATAATAATTATCATTTTACCTTAGTTTTTGAACTGGTTTTCTTGCTTTAAATCGGCAAATCGAGCTGACGGTAATTAATCAGCGTCGCCCATGGATACCCGCAATAAAGGATAGTTTACTTTTTTGAGGGACCCAATATCATACTAAAAATTCTTCTCCTTCCGTTCCTTCTCCTGCTCTAGGCCGAGGTCGCGGTGCCTCATTGCGCTTACCCCGCAACCCCGGCTGAACATCAGCCCTGTAGGGCCCCGTCTGTGGTGGTCTATTGGCTCTTTGAGGCGCGCGCGTAACACTAGGCGCCGTCAGCGAACAGAAGAGTTACGAGCGCATTGCCAGCGTTTTGGGATTAGGGTTATACGAAGAACTTGATAAGTTAAGGCCTTCATCAACACTAGTTTTTGAGTTTGGAGATTGTGTTTGCGGTAACCTCACTCACTCGGCGAGAGAAACTGGTATTATTTCACATACCCAGCCGTGGCTGCGATTTCAAGCATAACGATGTACCAGTCCAGCTTTCAGCAGGAGAAGGAACGCAACGGGACGGTTTTTATTCAGTAAGAGTCTGACACTCCCTCTCCACACTTAGGAAAGCGATATAATGATTCTCTTCTTCAATAAAAGACGTTGTTTTACGCCGGTGTACTGTGATGCCGTGGTATAACTCCACTCCATACAGCTGTGCCTAAGCGTAGCGACCGCCATTTAATATTCTTCATTAAAGCAATCATAATTATAATTACTATAATCTTTTTTGAACTGTATTTACATTACTAGTACTTAAATACACAATTACGCATATATTTAAACATTGAATCCATACATTTATATTTATTAATTCTATAAATTGTGTAGCTGATATTAGCCAAATAAAATATAAGGTATCTTTTAAATTGTCAAAATTGACAGTTCCTTGACGTTTTTTGGTAGATGTCAAATATATTTACGTCAAAGTCTAAAAAAAATATTTTTGACAAATCAAGTACACAATTATTTGCATAATATAGCCAAAGAAACATATCATTCTTATACAAATAATATAATATAAACAAAATAAATTTTGGTGCGAATAAAAATTGAGGTACACTACACTAATAAAAAATAAATCATACTGCCTACATTTACTAGTGTCAAAAACTCTATAAGTAATATTTTGTTTTCACACAATCAACATTTATCTATAAAAAATTGAAAAGCCTAGATAAAATTACTGATATCTTTGCATAGTCAAAATAATACGAAATTAATGATGGCAGGGTAATAAAATAAAAACTGTAACCCCCTTATTACAAAACAAGATTTATCTATAGTCCAGGTTTAAACCATTGAGTCGGGTTTTGAATTTTGAATCTTATTGTCATCTACCTTCAATTCGAAATACAAAAACTGGCTCAATGGTTTAGTCCTAGACTAAAGTAAAACCTCGTTTCGGAATAAGCCGTATAAGTCCGTCAGAAAAATAAAAACTGAAAAAAAAAATTAAACACTTATTTTATTCATTCGTCATAAAGTCATAATAATATAACAAAACACTACTATGAGTTTAGATAACAACTAAATTTAAACAATCTTGACATGTCTTTTTAACTAAAAACAGTATGAAATAATGTTTACAATCAGCTATTTACCTAAATCGATGTTAGCTAATAAACTGAATTTAAATAATCTTTGTATGTATTTTATACGAACTCTTTAATATAAAAAGACATACCAACATTGTTTACCTTTAGTTAACCACATAAACCTATACCCCCTTATTACAAAACAAGGTTTATCTTTAGTCCAGGTTTAAACCATTGAGTCGGGTTTTGAATTTTGAATCTTATTGTCATCTATCTTCAATTCTAAATACAAAAACTGGCTCAATGGTTTAGTCCTAGACTAAAGTAAAACCTTGTTTTGTAATAAGGCCGATAGACTATAGGGTAAACCTAGTTTATCAAAACCTTACCAATATCATCGACAATTTTGAGACGCGAAAACTTGATAACTACATCAAAAAATTTGACATAAGGTTGTCAAGAAAACAAAGGAAAAAAGAAACGCTATAAAAAGGTCCTGTTAAATGCCAAATTAAATAAAATAGAAAATATTTAAGATTATTTAAAAAATGTTATAATCAAGGTGTAAAAAGAAATTACTAGAATTTTACTACTTCGATCCAAACTAATATTATAAATGCGAAAGTAACTCTGTCTGTCTGTCTTATCTTCACGCCTAAACTACTGAACCGATTTGTGTGTAATTTGGTACAGACATAGTTTGGAACTCTAGAAAGGACATAGGATAGTTTTTATACCAAAAATTTGCAGCAAGTCACTATTCCATGCGAAAAAGTCGCGGGCAAAAGCTAATTTAAAATAAAGAGATGGTGGCGGTGTCTGCTATTTAAAGGGTAAGTATTTACTAATTTTTTTTTAAGTGAAATCACTGAAATTACAGAGGCAAAATAAATAAGAGAAAAGAAATAATATGTAGCTGTACTGGAGGACTGACAGACAGATTGACACTTTTTATTTATATTCTGCAGCCCCTCCGAAACATGGGTAAATGGAGGAACACCCTGTTGGTTTTTATTCAGAAAGTCTGACAGTACCTTTCGCCCTTCCCCGAGGGCAGTGGGTCTAATGATGATGAGGATTTTCCAAACCGATACAAAAAAAAAAACATTACGTTAAAAAAATCGAGTAAATTTTTTTTACACCTTACAACAGTCGATTAAATTTCAATAAAAAAGAATCTACATTCAAAATGAACATTTAATATAACGACTTTGTAGAACAAAAAAAAAGAAAATTTATTTAACTAAAATTAAACAAGAACATTTAAAACTATTGGTAGGTATTTTTTTTTATTAGAAATAATAATTGCAAGTAAACTGTGTGTGTATAATGTAGTACACAGATAAAATACAGGAGCTATTTTGAAAGAGGGCCATATGAATTTTTTTCATTTGGTTTTCATAAGACCAATATGGAAGTCTCAAAAATAATTTTATTTATCCATACAATACGCAACAGCTGAATGATATTTTTGCATGAAGAAGTATTTTGTTTATAAGTTGTTGTTCGCGACAACCATGTTAACGCCGGACCGGTTCCATCGCTTATGTGACGTCAACAGTGTGTCGCCGAGCATATTAATTCGGACCGCGCTCGTACCAGAGCCTATTGCAGTCTTAACAATCACATATTAAATTAAATTCATTAAAAATCAACCCAGTCAAGATTACCAGCGCCTCTGGAGCTTGTAACTCAACCTGTTGTTTTATTTGAGCGCCAAAATCGGGTCCTTAAATATGTTCCTCTTCCAAGATAACACATGTGCCCTTAATATGGTGAATAGGCTCGACGCCTAATGTCATAACAAAATAGAAGGAACGGAGTGTTTTTTAGTCAGTTAAAGTCTGACACTCCCTCTCGCCCTCTTTAAAAAGGCTACATTTTAATATAACCCAAGCGGGCAGTAAAACGGAAACCTTTTCTCAAATATACCTACCTCATCTCATAAAACATATCCCTGACTAATAAAAAAAAATGAATTTAATAAGGTAATAATTAAAATATTAAAAAAAAAATGTCAATAAATCCCACGTTTCTATTTTCTATGGCACGATTGATAAAGAAATTAATAATTAATAATCATATATAAAAAAATCAGTTACAATATTTTCGTAAAATATAATAATAACATTTTAAGCAAAATGACTCATCTATATTAATATTAATAATAATAATGATCTTTATATTTACTTAAACTAAAAAAAAAGGTAAAATATTTCCGTGTTTATAACTTGTTTGTCATCTGCGAAACAAGAAAACAAAACAAAAATTAATATACGTTCTGCTCAAGATGTACACTTTTTTAAAAAATCACCTCGTACATTGAATTTCAAAATTATTTATATTTAATCCGGGAATGAGACTAGACCGGACATATAAAAAAAGTAGAAGAAAATTTCGTCAATTTCACGGAGCACTAAATTTAATCACGAAAAAAATTTTTTTTGTAGTGGTGATTAATGAAACAATAATGAAATTCTTACCTTATTTCATGCTCATGTTACTATAGATGTCGAATTCATCCATGCCATCTGGTTCGAAGGCCCGAATCTGCTCGAACAGTTCACTGTCCATGAAACTGTCAGTTTGGGCCGGCGTAGCCGCACTGAAGTAGCTGTGTGGTGATCATTGACCAGCATTTTGTGGAGTGGTGATTATTGTCGTGTAGTGATTAGGATTTTGGTGTTTTTCATGTGTTGTGTTTAAGATTTAAATAGTTGTTTGTGGGTTTCGAAGACCAGCGGGTGCACCAATCAGGTAATCGGGAAAGAAAAGAGAAAATGCAACACGTTAATGAAAACAGAAGACGGTCGTTGTATAAAAATAAAATAAAAAAAATACCTACAACCGTCGCCAAAAAGGCAGCACAGACAAGACGCAGCTGTAGTGTATGATTCGACGAAAATAAAAATAAATTATCAAGAACCATTAGAATTACCAAAAAAAAAACTAAAGTTTAAAAAAAAACACGACCGTCTGTGTTGCATTTTCGCGATGGGTTTTGCGCTTAGAAAAAGTCATTTGAATTACATTTTTTTTAACCAAAAACGATGAACTTAACTAATGAATGCCAAACCGATTATATCAATGGACGGAGATGGAAAATCATATGGATTCAAAGACTTTTCCCAAACAATAAATTAAAACTCATAATAAATATTTCATCACATATAATTATACAAATACATCGATTCAAAACATACATACAGGGTGATCAACATCGTAAATTGTCATGTATAGATAAAAATTGGTTAGTTATGGTTTGTCAAAACTTCTTTCCTCGATTAAGTAATTTGAAAAGTCATATCATTTTTGAATACTTACTAATTAAATATCGTATGACATAGAAAATAACGAATTACTGGCGTGGACGCAACATGGCAGCAACGCTTACGCTGCTCCTGAATAAGAGTTCCCTTGCGACTTGAAATTAATAGAGCTTTTTTTAAAGTTGATTCACGTTAGTAAGTCGTTATTTTAAAAAATTCATATCATATATAATTTTACAAATTTTGACTAGTTTTCAACACATCTTAAGTATCATTTGTTATATTGAATTTATTTTTGTTTGGCGGGTTACCGACGTATCTTCGTTAACTGCGTCATTTATCGCGTAATGATGGTTTTGAATGAGTTCGTAGCGTGGCTTGGAACTGGCCCAGTATCTCATAAACGTGGGTAAGCCGTTAAACAAAAATAAATCGTAAACATCAACAATATAAACAAACAACCCTTTTTGGATTTCGGCTAAAAAATCAAGATATTGAGCCAAATTTAGGGCTGATTTTTCAATGGTCAGATAAAAGTTATCTGGGGAATAATTATGATGCTGTCGCGTCACAATGTTTGTATAAGACAGTGACAGCAACAATTTAATTCCATAGATAGCCTTTATCTAACTATGGAAAAATCAGCCGTTAATCGATTTATCGAAGTTTTGACAGACCAATTGCGTTTATCGTCTAACCCCACACATAAAAAGCTTTATAATTATTCGTAGTCAGATTCTTTTACACACTCTAGGGCTGATCGTTCAATAGTCAGATAAATGTTACCTGAGGAATAAAATTGTTGCTGCCACTGTCTTATACAAACTTTGTGACGCGACAGCATCATAATTATTCCCCGGGTAACTTTCGTGTAACCATTGAAAAATCAGCCCTTAAGCAATATTTTGATCATCATCATGTATTGAATGATCTATTTTATGTAATATTAAACGGGCACATCTCTTAAAAAACTCGCAAGGGAAATACTGTAAACTACTTTCTTTACCTTACTACTAGACTAAAGAGAAAATCTGTAATTTAACCAGTCATAATACGTGTGGAGTCGACAAAGAGATTTTTCTTATAGATTTTTCCTATCAAATTACACCTACCTAGAAATAATAGTCACATCCATTTAAGATAATAATACAATAATAATAATAATTCACATAAATTCGTTAATTTTATTAACTATTCAACCAACCAATCAGAAACGCAAAACCGACGCGTGAATCCGAAGGATTTTTCAAAATAATCCCCGCAAACAAAAATGTTAATCACCATCACAAAAAATTTTTGGCCAATTTGTTTTTTTATTTAAACTTTAAATACATACCTATATCATCAAAAATTCCTTCGGACGCGTCGGTTGTATTTTTTGTTACTTAATTTTCTTTTTTTTTTACAATTAATTGACCGATTTAATTTTTTTTCTTAAACATACAACATTTAATATTTACCTAGCCTAAAACTTTATTTGGTTATTTCAATTTTTTTTCAGGGAAAAACCTTTTACATCATAGCTTTAATTAAAACCGTAGCTTCTAGCTTAGAGATATGTAGGTAAGAAAATTTAAAATTAATTCAGTACATATACAATATCCACTGTTTTTTTTTTACCTAGCAAGTACCACATAATCAAACCTTTTTTGGTATAGGAGGCACATGGGTAGAGGTACCGCCTGATGATTTTTATTTGTTTTTGTTGTGAATGATCTATCTTATTAGAGCTTTCCGAAGATATAGATCATAAGTAAATAAATCTAAGGTGCGTACGGGGTCTGTATAAGTTAATAAGGGTTAATTTTTCAATGGTTAGATAAAATTTACCTGGGAAATAATTATGATGCTGTCGCGTCAGAATGTTTGTATAAGACAGTGACAGCAACAATTTTATTCCTTACATAACATTTATCTGACTATTGAAAAATCAGCTCTAATTCAGCAAATCTCGTGATCTGTTAAGTTGCTAAAATGTGTTAGGCTTTCCTTAGAATGAATAGAATTAAATAAACACGCGTACCATTTAGCCGTAGATGTTCACAACTGTAGTGTGTGTTATACCTAAGTACCTCTCCCCATAAGTAGCATAAGATATCATATTATAACACATATAATTAAAGACATTCAGACAAGTAACACGTGTCTATATTTGCTCCTAAACTGCAAAACAATGGATACTGTCTTTGTACAGAACCAATCTTAATTCACTAACCTACATACCAAACAAGTGATGAAACAAACAATTCAAAATTCGAACGTTTTTTTTTCTCCTGAAGAAGTGAACAAAAAGAGGTTCTACTGTTTTAAACAAAAAAAAGCACGCCATTTTTTATTAAGTCATTCTATCGACACAGACATAGCTTAAACATTTTCATTTCGAAAAGTAGTATATTCAAACAACTTTATTTTTTCAATTATGCCAATCGATTTTGAGCCGTAATGCGTTTAGGTTAACCGTTACGGTGACAGAAAAACATTCGTAATAGCTTGTACTTTTCCCGCTATTATTATAAGAGCCAACTAGACAGCTAAATACGATAGAGACCAGACATCAGCGCCTGTCTGCGGAGATTGTGGCAAACCCCTCTTATGTAGAGGTGACACATACTCCAGCTTGGAATAATGATGAGCAATTGATACTGATAGCTAATAATGCCACGTAGCATCAGCCTATAAATGCCCACTGCTGAGCAAAGGCCTCGTCTCACACGAAGATGGTTTGAGCATTAATCACAACGCTTGCTCAAGGCGGATTGGCGATTTCAAACTTGCAATTAGAAATTTTAAGTCCAGCTTTCCTCGCGATGTTTTCCTTCACCGTATGTCAGTGGTGTCCAAATAAACTTAGAAAGTACATATAAACCGGGAAAAGTCAGATTCTGTCTTAGCCTTCAGCAAATATATCCATTATCACAAGTCCTTAAGGTATATATTCCTGTGGCTCAAAATCGATAGCAGTCATCGTAAAAGCTTGTCAAATCTAATATAAATACGGATCGCATATAAACTACATTTTGAGCATCGTTTTGTGTAAAATTCAACTCTATTGAGCTCGTTATACGTCATGTATTCTTTTGTTCGTGATTTACCTTTGGTAATTTTTATATAGATATTATTAAATCAAAAATTTTAATATTGTGTGTGTGTCTATACATATATAAACTGAAAACTCCAGTCTTCAGTCAATAAAGAATCTTATACCAGTTCAAAATAAGGACAGAGATTTTTAAAAGCTAACATCATAACCAAAATTTTTCAAAAAAAGGTTTTAATCCCCATTTTGAGTCAATACCTAAACTTAAAATAAAACTTAAATCAATGTCATGTGTAAAAAATAACTGTACTTACTTAATAAAAAAATTAAAAATAATAAGCAATAAAAATATTTTAGTAAAACATTAAAAATTAGCACCGAATTTATACAAAGAAAAAATACTTTTAGAAGACAGGTTTAATCACATTTTTGTTTTTATTTTAATTTTAATATATATATAATTATATATTTTTTCACTATAATCATGAGCAATATTTTGAACCAATCAAAATAAGTATGATCAAGTAAATTTGAGACCTAATTACTTACTAAAAATAGAAAAAGATGTGTTAAAAAAGAAAAAAATATATATTTCCGCTACATTTTTTTTTATAAAAAGCTAATTGCTAACTTATTTTAAACAAGAAATTCTTTATAAAATGCAGTATGTGGACCCCATAGAATCAGTTATTCAGTTTTTTTTTATTATTATTTAATAATAATCTCAAATATTAAATAACATTAATTAATTAGGTTTTTTTTCACCTCAATAATTTAGGACATTTTTTTTTCAAATAGTAAGTATAAGTTCATGTTGAAATATGAGAATTAGCTATGTTTTAAACACATTTTAAATATGTGTGTAAATACTAATATTTGAGATTAAATAAAATAGGAAGGAATCAAGAAACATCAGTCATTTCATTTCGTTTTTTTTCGAGATATTATGAAAAAAATAGAATAAAAAAATCGTTTTTTATCAATAACAAGCGAAGGACGGCCTGGCGTTGACGTGATTTTTATTATTTTAATTATATAATATAAAATAGTTCAATTATGTTAGATATGGTGCCAGAATATGTATTTTGTTTTTTGTAAATAACATAATAATTATTGATTCATATTAGATTGTTTTTTATTTTTTGATAGAATTCGAATTAAATAGCTACAATTTAAAATTGCACAATTTGTTTTAGCTAATATAAATATACATAATATGTATAAATACTCATATCGAATAATATATATTTAATTAAATATAAAAAACGATCAGTTTTTTATGAACGAATAAATTCGTATAAAATTTAA